CTTTTTTGTCGGAGGTTCGTTTTTTGTCGATTTAAATTTTAATATTCTTGGAGTCCATTATCTTTGACGTTATGTCCTTCATGCAGTATTTCCGTTGTTCCCTTTTTGTTCTTATCTGAATAAATACAGTATGTACTGAAACATTTATATATAGGCTGGCTATCGGCTGTGCTGATATTAAATCTTTGTATTTACGCGCGTAGCTTTCATTTGTTTATCAAGCTCATTTATTTATATACAATTTGACCGTGACTCAGTTTTCACCCGCTCTATCTCTCTCTTTCTGTATTGTGCCTTGCTACATATATAGGGGAAATAGCAGCTTCCCCAAAAATCTGATAAAGATGTTGTAATACAACATAAACGGATTTCGCGTTCGTCTGAAAAGAAATTCGCTATATGTATCACCCCAATTATTCATACGAATCAGCTGATTAGTCGATTCTCGGAATTCAATCTTTGTGTGGTTGCTTTGACTGGTTTTTTCCCTACATCACAAGCTAATAAAGGGGTACATGTGTATAATAGGTTTCAATGATTTTCTCACACTCTGAGTGATTGTTTTCATTATATTAACTGCGACGCATTTTCTGATATTTTTATATCAGGTTAATAATAGTAATTGCAAACTATCATTCTTATATCTTAACGTGTTTTCACGTTAGTTTGCTTTTTGAATGCGAATCGTTTATAATATTTTCTCAATTTTTTTAAATTGGCCTTTAATTGTAATGTAATTCACGTAAACGTTATCTGCAATTACTTTTAGTTATTATTTTATATTTTGCCCAATTGTATTACCATCGTAAAGTGATTTTGATTTGGTATTTCAATAATGTCGCCTGGCGTTTTCACGTGAATTTATTTTCATCTATTTGACTGTGAATCGTTAGATGGAAAATTAACAAGAATTTGCCACTTTTAGCACTTGTAATTGATATTTGAAATTTCAACCAATTAAATTAGTCGCTTAATTTGCCGTTTGAGAAGCGGAATTGTGCAGAAATTGAATTCAATTGATCGGTAGTTCCCAGCTCTGGAGGTATTTTTCCAGACGTATCTCAATTAACCGATGACAGCAGGTGCCGGGACCAACTGACGGACAAATTGAATCGTTAGAGGGTCGTGGCATTTGGCCTGGGAATCACCTCATTTGCCATTTTTAGAAACTGTGTTCAATTGGCGAATGTCTAATTGAAATTAAGGCGAAGCCAACAGCTGTCAAAAAGCGGGAATCGTGAATCGAATATTCAATGTCAAGTGCGTGTTTCAGCGAATCCTTTGCGTCAGCAAACTCGGCCTGGCTTGGTCCTTCGAGTGCGAAAGCCTTGGGGGCAATAAAGCCAGATATTCACATAGATACAACGACGGGCTGTCTCGTCTGTGTCCTTGCCCTGGCTGCCGTCAAGGAAACTGGGAAAAGGGGTGGAAAACCCGCCTGTTGCTCGTGTCGAGGCCACAACTGCGGACATCTGTGACGTCAGGCGGATGTCCTTTCGTTCAGATGGCAAACATCACAGAAATGTTTGCCGTTTTCGGTAGAGAAATTAGTTAACTTTGTTTGAGAGGAAATAAACTTGTATTGTCAATAACTTAATATGAACTCAATAGAAATTTCTTTCATTTACAATTAGAAAGTTTAAACCATAATACCTCAATGCTCTGAATGGTAGGCTTTAACCGTAATTCTCACTTGTCGGCTTGAATACTTCCTTTTACGATTTGCATTTCGTATACGCTTTTGCGTTATTTGTTTTCTTTTTAAACTTGAATTGAAAGTGGTTCTCACCCACATCAAGTTGAGCAGCAATTTTGGTTTACCTCTACAAGCGATATGGCTCTATATCTCTAGTTGTGTAAATGTGTGTTCTGTTATCGTTCGTAAACAGCAACTTGCTCACAGATGAGGGGAGCGGTTACTCACCCTTAATTAGCTGATTGAACACAAACCAGTTGAAACAACAATTAAAATACTTGACAAAGTCGATTTCCAGCCAGGCGATATGCAAATAACTTGGTGGATAAACACAAATGTGCTCGCCCAGATATTAACAAAGTCGGATGTTAATGCAAAGGTGCGGTCTGTTTTAGGGGTAAACAGTGTCAAAGAACTTTTGGTGGCAACAAATGCTGTTTTGCTACATTTTGCTTGTGAATCAATTCTTCAAATGTTTGTTTTCTTTGTACTTCAATTTAAATTTGCAGGAATATGAAGTGCAAACAAAGATACTTTATATTTTATCACGAATGTTACAATCGATTGCCATATTAAACCCGTTTGGATTTCTTATTAATAAGTCACGAAGCTTTATTTTTTTTTAAGTTTAGCTCAGCAAGAAGTGCCAGCGGAATCCTTTTAGTCAAAACCTCCTCCATTTTCTTCTCGTTTCGCTTGGCTCGAAACAAGCTTAAAATTTTTAATTACCATTTAACTTTTGCCTTTTCGTCAGCTGGTGTTGCCGGGGTTTTCAACTCTTTAATTACATTTGGGATTTAGATAAATATTTTCTGTATTTATGAGGCATGTAAATGGCTTTTGTTATTAATTCGTTATTAACTTCAAGGCTTTTAGAGAAACATTGCGACAGGGATGTTAAAAACTCTTTAACAAACTACCTTATTTTTATTTCCTATCTGTATGCTCTGTACTGACTGTATTCCGAAAAAATGGAATTATTTGAAGTGCCCCCCGAAATAATCAGTAAAAATTTTATTTTTATTAACTGTATATTTTCTTATCCACTTTATATGGAACCTTTTTATATATGGTACTCCCCAAGAACCCCCATTTCGCCCCTCCTCGCAACCAGTATTTTTTCAAATTGCGACGCTAATTAATGGCTTCAACGACTGGCACTTACAAAAAGTGGCTGGCGTCGACAACGTTTTGGCCAGCGTCGTCATGACGGCCAACAGAATATGGGAATGAGAACGGGAATTCCGTAGGGGCAGAGGGGGTGAGCGGTAAGGTGAGGGGGCTTCTTGGGCAGTCATTGAACTATTTACGCATGGCCTTGCTCAATTTATATAATTTATAATTCTCAATTGGATTTCTTATTCGTTTTTGCTGCGGCTATGTCCATTCCCCATATTGTTGCTCATAAATGTGCGACTGAAACAGAGAACAAAACACACGCCAAATAAACCTCAAACGTTTTTAAAGCTTTGCTCATTTAATTGTTGTGTAAACAAATGGTAAAACAAAAAAAGAAAACAAACTTTACCCTTGGGGCTATGACGAAAAAACCGAATACGATATTCTGCATCGATTCATCGAATCGCGTGGGGTGATTCATTCATAACCACTTACTTACAATTGCTCATATGGAGTCATTATTACTGTTTTATATATCATGGCGTAACTGGACAGAACAAACTGAAAACAAACTATATTTCATATTTTTATTTTATATATTTACTATTATTATTGTTCTTATTTTGTAATCTTCTACTTCTGTTATTTTTCCTGTGTTCATCTTTGTTTTAATGTTTTAAAAACCAATGGTTTATGAATAATCAAGAGCTATGATCATTTGTTTACTTAACAAATTTTATTTGGAATTAGTATTTGTTTAGATGTGTTTATTAATAATAATATTTAAACAGTTTTATATTGTTCAGTTTTTTTTCTGCGTGGAAATGTAATTAGTCTTTTCTGGGGCACAAATTTCCCTTGAACAATTTGCCAGCTATAGCTAGTACATATATACTCGAATGTGAGTTAAAGTTTCGTGGACGCCCGCCAACACCTCGAACCTCCGGCTCGATGAAAACCTCACAATCCAGCGATAAACCTGCCAAACTGCGCAGTTTTGAAGGCGGAGAGTCAACGCTTTTGACTCGACGTGTTTACCTTTATAATAAACACATTTCGTTTCGTGCATTTGTTTCCTTTCCACCACGGCCAGCTGCCTGCTCTTGCCGCTTTTAATATTTAAACAGAGCACATATGCGAAACACAACACAACTCACACAAAGCCCGGTGAAAACAAGTTCAACCGCCGATAACTTGTTTTATCGCCTGCTCTCTTCCCTCTTTGTTTAGTAAATCTCGTGCGATTTGTTGGGGTTGGCAGCCCCTCTTAAGTAGAGCCACGTGATTTAATGGATCATTGAGATTTCAGGCACATTGCAGCAGCTAAGCCCACTTGTTGCATGTTGGTTGGGAAAAAAACTCATCTAAGATTACATCATCCTGATAGGTAGGCTTTGTTATTCGCAGTATCATCTTACAGCACCGATCTCACAGGGACGAACAAGCTAATAGTAACAGAACCTAGTTGACCAACATTGACTTTTTCACTTTTTCATTGACTATTTGATTATTGAATAATCTATATAAATATTTTTCAAAAATGTATGGTATGTAAATGCAATAAAAAAGATGTCCTATTATATCAGTTATTTTATTTAAATAAAAAAATGTCAAGAAAAATATATTATTTGCAACAGCTGCTGAATAACAGTTATCTAAATTTATTATTATAATTTGTTTTTATAAAAAGTCACCCGTAACTTATAGTCATAAATATTATAAAATAAAATTTTACTATTCCTAATTTTTGTAAAAATGTTTATCGGTGCTTATATTTTCGTTACAAAATGTAAACTCCCATTGATTTATAGTCGTGGGGAGCACTGTAAGTCCACAACATTGACATATGTACGTAGTATTTGTGGATCTGTTGTGAAATCATCGAAAATTAGCACTGCTAATTTGGCCGGTCGTCTATTTGCCTGGATGATAGCGTCTACGTGTTTAGTGGCTTGTTGAGTCATCCTTATCGGCCATCGTCTGGTGCCTTCAACCACCACCCAATCCCATCACCTCCTGCAGTTGTCACACGATCCCTCAAGTTCAGCGATTGCCCATAATAATTTGTTGCACTTGCGCCAAGCGATAAGCTGCAATAATATCAGTTGGAGGAAACCTGGAGGGGGCACATCCTTATCTACGTCGGGTTACTCATCCAAATTGCATCTCCATTTTATTATTGCAGGCTGATGACAAATCGCTGCTTGCCCGCTTCTTCCATGCGGATCGGTCCCTCACAGCTGTGGCCAGCGAGTTGGACAGCTTCGATGGACGGGCGGAGCCGGATCGGTGCACCAGACTGGTCAGCAGACTGCGGCAGAATCAGGTGGGTCTCAGGAAATATATATTTTAATGTATTATTCAAGAGTCTTGCTACTTGAATATAAATAAAATGACAATTTGAATGCTATGCTAATTCCTTATTCTTTCTGCAGGACAAAGTGCTGGCCATCACGAATTTGATTATGGAGGAGCTGCTCGGCGAAGATCGTGATCCGCGTGCTTTCCGCGCAAAGTTTCCCGAGGAAGTTCTCCAGGAGAATTTGGCCGGACAGCTGTGGTTCGGCGCCGAGTGCCTGGCTGCTGGATCCTCCATTATGAACAGGGAGACGGAGAGCAAGGAGATGCGTCCACTGGCCCAGGCGGTGACCAAGAGTTTGGGCAATGTGAGGGTTCTGCTGAGGGATCAGTGTTTAAAGAACAACGTACCCAACAGCAAGACATTGCACTTAGACTTGAACGATACGACCACAGAGCAGCTGTATGAGAGTCTGAAGATTTTCGACCGACTGTTTGCCGAGTTCGAGTTGAGTTATGTGAGCGCCATGGTACAGGTGAAGACTCGCCATGAGTACGAGATGCAGCAGTGGATCGGGGTGCTTTTCTCGGAAACGCTGCAGCGGGCTCTAAAGATTGGGCTGCTCGATCAGGATATGGTAGGATGCCTTCGATCCCGGCCTGATGTTCTCCATTCCACGCCTGGCCATCGTTGCTGGTTTGGTGGTCTATGCCAAGGGACCGCTTAACATGGACATGCCGGGTGACCAGCTTTCGGAAATGTTCCGTCCCTTTCGCACAATCCTTATCAAGATCCGCGATCTCTTGCGCAACCTCAACAACCAGGAGCTCTATCAGCTGGAGAAGCTCCTGTGTACCAACGAGGAGATCAACACCAAGGTGGTTTTATAACTAAAATATGCTAGATATTGGAATACAATTTATTTAATTGCAGGTGCCACTTGGCTCGAGCAGTATCGAGGCCCCCAGTCCGGAGCACAACTCCAATCTTACAACGAGCAGCATACAGAATAACAACAGCAGCAGCAACAATAACCACAGCAGCAGTGGCACCATTACCACGGGGACAACAAATACGCACAGAGTGGTGGAGCGCCTGGTGGATCAGCGAAACAACAATATTAATAGCAACAGCAACAGTAGCACCAATCCAGCAGTGGAGGAAACTACTTTGCGCTCTCCGTCCATGTTGTCGTTTTCGCCCACCAGCTCGCCCACCGCCTCGCCCGCGCCCTCACCCACGCCCTCGCACTCGATAGCCTCCACTTCATCGGCGGCCACCAGTTCCACAAATCCACCAGCGGACTGGAGCGATGGCGATGATGAAGACGAAGACGATGATATTGAGGTAGATGAGGAGGACTTAGAAAGCAGCGATGATGACACGGACGAGGAACAGCTGCTCAAAGACATTGTGGCGGCGGACTGTGCCTCCGGATACCTCATACCCAACACCAATCTGGGCAATCTGCTGCAGCCCCAAGAGGTTCCTCTCACGGACAACTTCGTGGCCAGCGAAGATGATGAGTACGGGACTGGCGAGCAGCAGAGTCAGCGCCACGAGGAGGAGGAGCCCAGCACAAGTGCTGCCATGCTGGCGGCCACCCGCACCTTGCAGCGGCTGCGCCTGCCCAGTAGCGACACCGATCCTCTAGCCGAGCCCACGACAATCAAAGCATCTGAGGAGCAGATGCAGCAGCCAGCTGTGCCAAGCGTTCGCCATCGAGAGGGCCACAGTCACCGCCATCACCAACGCCACCACCACCACCATCATCACCATCACCAACATCAGCACCGGCAGCCGCATCCGCATCCGCATCGCACAACGCGCAGTGGCCGCAAGCGTTGCAGCCTGGAAGCACCAGAGGCGGAGGGGAATCCGGTGGAGAGGGATCAGAACCTGGCCAGCGGTGATACAAGTGCCGCCTCCTCGCTGTCAGACGATGTGTCGCTGGCGATGCGCAACACCACGGCTCGACTCAAGTTCAAGTGAGTATGGAAATAACTTATTTAATAAAACAGTGACTCTTATGTAATATAACAAAAATGGTAGATATCGCATTTAACGATTTTTTTAAAAATTAAAAAAGGTATATAATAATAATTAAGAATTTAAAACAAGTGATTGCTGAATATTCTCCGTCTCCTATTGGACATAAAAGATAAGGCTTAATGCTTAGCAACAATTTATAAATATTCTTAAGGCTAAGGTTCGACATTTTAAAAATGCCATTAAAAAGCAATAACGCAGCTTTTATTAAATTGTAAAACCAAGACTAATATAGTAATAAAATATATTTATAGAATTATATTATATATAATAATATATATAAATATAATTATATAAAAGGTATATATAATGAAAAATAAAATTGACTAGGGTAAAATTAGTTCAAGCTTAGAAAAATAGTTTTCCATGAACCGAAAACTAATTAAATTTGTAAATTCACAGGAGCACCGAAAACCTGCTGCACCGCCTGTTTGTCTGCATCGCCGGGGTAGCCGACCAGCTGCAAACGAACTTTGCCTCCGATCTGCGCCAGATTCTCCGCAGTGTGTTCCTCATGAACATGTCGTCGGCTCAGGAGGAGATCGACATTCCGGAAAAGACAAAGGAGTCGGAGCTTTTCGAGTTCCGGGCATCCGAGAACGATGTGATACAGGAGAGCGCCGGCTCCAACCAAAGCATTTACTCAGCGGAGGAAGTCAATCCTGAGCTGGACAATGTGTTCAGTGCCGGCGGTGGCAACCAGGCCACTGGTCAGCGCCATTCTGCCGGCGCCAGTATGCAGCGAAATAATACCATTGATCTGGCCAGCCAGCCTGGCAATGAAAGTCCCAGTGGAGCAACGATGGCCAACAGTCGTTCGCATGTGACGCGTAGCCGAAGTCTTGGGGATCAGGAGGCAGCTAACACGGCCACCAGCAGTAGCACACAGCTGCATCAGCAGGAGCAGCAGCAATTGCAGATCCAGCTGCAGCGACAACGCAACAATTCCGTGGGCAGCAACACGCCCTCCAGCGCCTCCTCAACCAGTTCCAGCTCCGAGCAAAATTCCCCGGTGAGTGCCAGGAGCGGCAGTCGCCGCCGCCTGCAGAGCAACAACGAAACCCAGATGCCCTCCTCTGCAACGTCCGCCTCAGCCACGCTTTCTCCGCCCGCTTGGATTCCTGATGGCAAGGCACCACGATGCATGGCCTGCCAGACGCCTTTCACTGCCTTCCGTCGTCGTCACCATTGTCGCAACTGTGGCGGCGTCTTCTGTGGCGTCTGCTCCAATGCCTCTGCTCCGCTGCCCAAGTATGGACTGACAAAGGCGGTACGCGTCTGCCGGGACTGCTACGTACGCGAGGTTCGTTCTGGATTGGGTGTTCAGGGAGTGCAGAGTGTTCAGAGCGTCCAGGCCACCGCCTCTTAGGATTGGCCAAACGCGCTAGCCGGCGCAGCTGACGACCAAAAACGTGGCCGAGACGGAGAAAAAGCAAACTGTGACTCGCAATTGTTCCGCAAACAATGTTTTCTTTATTTTATACGTAATCCTAATCCTATTAAAAATGGGCCCATGACCACAGTTAGGGCTTGCGTATATAGATCATATATATCGTAAATATATATAACCATAGATATATATTTTTTAATTCCAAAACAATGACCAACTGAGCGTCTATCAAACAAGTCTAGAATAAAACTTCGATCTGTACTACAACGATATTTGTTCATATCAAACGATAGCGCCAGCTTTAAGTTCGGCTTGCATTTTTAGGAATATAACATTTTGTTATCTGTTCTATGTTTTGTTTTGGGGCTTTGGGAAACACCCTAAGGTGTGGACAAGAATTTTCTATGCGTTAGCTTTAACTTTTCAAAATCCTTTGTCACTAGCCAAGGCCTTACTATATTGCAGTTAGAGCTATATAGATAAATGTATATTTTTCTAGCGTTGAGTATCATTGTGCGACCGTAACAAGCTGATAATAGGCGTTAATTGTAGCAGAAATTTTTGCGAAACATTTTTTGTGATTTATCGTAGTTTTATATGTATTAATTATCTTATGTTAAAACGTTTTTATCTGACCTAGCTGGAATAAATAAGTACGTAGATGTATGTGGCATGATGAAATCCTTAAATTGAATTTCAACAATAATAACAAATATATAACCACTAAAGACAAACATATATATTTTCTGATTCAAACTTGTATAAAGTATAAAATGTAACAAACAAAAAATCTGTAAATTGAGTTTAGGAAATATACGCGATTTTATGCTTAAATAAAAATCAATCACTTCAATTTTTTTATTGGTTTTTGAATGGTGTAATTTTGATCATAATGTCTTACACTTAAACGTCACACTAACACAGCTCTTTTTTTCGTTTATTTTTAATTTGTTTTCCTGAGGGAGTTCTTCGTTATTCAGTTATCCTTTGTGCGTTCTATCTTTGTTAATTGATACCATGAAGATGCAGCTTTTACAACGAAAGTTGTCCAGTGTTCCGAAGAGTCATAAGGCTAGCTCCAAGTCTGTTTCAATGATGTCCTTGGAGGAACGATTCCGGGATAGTACAGAGCCGGCGCAACTAAATCTAATGCTCGATCTTAACGAGGAGTTCTTCACCAAATCCTACCTGCTGGTGCAGACTCTCAGCAATCGCCACTCCTTTCTGGCTGCCAAGTTCAAGTTTTACATTGACATCCTTTATAGACTCCATGGCCACTACGTCACCGAGGTGGACCAAGGGCGGGAGATGCAGACGAAGGTGAAAACGGCGGACGAGAAGCTGCAGTTGGCCTTGCACACCACGGCCACCTCGGAGGCGATGATGGAGCACTTGCGCGAGTCCTTGGAGGATGCCTGGCGAAACGAGGACACCACCAAGAATCGCGAGGAGATCATGCAGATCCAGTTGATATCACTGGTGCGCAGCGATCAACCAACGTTCAGCAGGGCTATGCCTGAACAGATAGCACCTTCAGCGTAAGTTTTTTAAAGTCCATAAATAAATCTTCAGCGGTTTAGTTCTGTATGTTGAAGGTCCATTTAGTCTCTTTCGAATCTTGATTTAAAAAATAATAATGTATTTCCTCGCAGGAAAGACGCCCATTTCAGGAACTTGGTCTTTCGCGAGCGTGATCGCCTGGCCGGTGAGCTGAAGGACTATCAGAAGCGCCTACAAACAAACCGCATTTATTCCGAATCGCTGGAGGGATTGCTGGAGGTGTCGAAGGAGACAATTGCCAAGCTCAATCTGCGGGTGAAAAAGGCCGAGTCAGAGAACTTTCGATTGGATCACAAGTGTAGAGTGGAGCAGGATAAGTATGAGGAACGTCTTTTGCTTGTTAACAAGGAGCTGGCCTCTGTGTTGCAGCAAAACGAGGAACTCCTCATAGCCGAGAAGGCCATGTCGGAGCTGACATCCGCCAACGAGGCACTGAAGCTGCGAAACGATCGTCTCGCGCGGGAGAACTATAACTTCTCGAAGACTTTTCGCCTTCTGGAGGATGAGAAGCACAAACTCCAGACGAGCCTGAAGATGACCGGCGATTTAAATAATGCTCAGAGGAGGAGTAATGCCGATCTTGAATTGGCCCGCCGCGTCGCTGAGCGGGATGCCAAGAAGCAGGCGGATGACTCGCTGGTCCTGGAGCGACGTTTCATCCAGCTGGCCAAGAAGAACTCGGAGTTGAACAATCAAGTTCTGTTTAATCAGTAAGTAGTAGGAACTTAAGTATACTCAGTACATAAGCTAACTAAGATGTTGGAGGTAGAAAATTAATAATATAAAGTAAAAAATAAAAGTTCTTAAATTGCCTAAAACCCACCTTCTAGAAATGAGATCAAGACCCAGGAAAAGAAAATCATCATAGCCACTGCCAAGCTGGACGAGGCTTATCACCAGAAGGACGAAATGGCTCGCACCCGGGACAAGCTCAGGATAGAGATCACCCGTCTTAACGACATTGTGGCTGGAGTGCGGCACGAAATCGCTATTATTCGCCATCAAATGCAGGATTTGCAAAATGATCTTCACCGGGCCAATAAGCAGTTGGATGAGAAGGACCTGCAGGTGCAGAAAATAGCTCGTGAAAAGAGGGAGCAGACCTTGGAGCTAAACGAAGCCTACAAGAAGATCGATGGCATCGAGGGTGAGTTTTAATATACATTTAATGTTTTTATACCCGTTACTCGTAGAGTAAAAGGGTATATTGTATTCGTGCAAAAGTATGTAACAGCTAGAAGGAAGCGTTTCCGACCCTATGAAGTATATATATTCTTGATCAGGATCACTAGCCGAGTCGATTTAGCCATGTCCGTCTGACCGTCTGTCTGTCCGTCTGTCTGTCTGTCTGTCTGTCCGTATGAACGCTGAGATCTCGGAAACTATAAAAGCTAGAAGATTGGCATTTTGCATGTAGATTTTAGAAGTTCCTACGCAGCGCAAGTTTGTTTCAAAATGGTGCCACGCCCCCTTTAACGCCCACAATCGCTTATATACGATTTTAAAAATTTAAATATTTCGGAAAAGTAAAAATGCAGTTTTATTGTGTTTATCAATACCTATCAAAATGTAGAAGAAATTTTTCAAATCGACCATTCGTTAAAAAGTTATGCGTGATCAAAGTTTCTATCTCCATCTCCCTCGCACTCCCTTTAGCTGAGTAACGGGTATCTGATAGTCGGGGCAAATGTGATTAATTTATATCAATTCCCCTTTTCCAGAGGCGTTGGGTTTAAAGACGGAGCGCCTGGAAGCCCTCCAGTTGGAACTGCATCAGAAGCATCTGGATTTTGTCAACGCGAAGAAGCAGATGGAAATCATCCACTCAGAGAAGGTGTTGTTGTTGAAGACGATGGACATGTGCTCGCGGGACCGCTCCACGCTGCAGAACACGATGACCCAGCTGACACACCAGATCAATCAGATGACCAGCTCTCTGGCCATTTATGAAAAGGAAATCTCCACCCTTGGGAACCAGATTGAGCAACTGAACCGTACCATAAAGCATAAGCAGAACGAGATCCACGCTAAGGGGCGCCTGTTGGCCAGCACACGGTCCGATCTCCGAGAGATGAAGATCCGGCTGGAACAATCGCAGCACACTATAGATTCCGATGAGAAGCGCTTCAAGACCATTGCTTGCGCCCTGGAAGAGGTCACCAAAGAAAAGAGTCTGATCGGCTTGCAGATGGTCAGAAGGAATGATGAAGTGCGCCTGCAACGAGAGAAATTGGAAATGATGCAGAAGGCCATCGATCGGGGAACCTTGCAGTACAATCAGAGATTGGAAGACATTCGTTTGCTCAAAGTGGAGGTAGTCAACCTGCGGATGTCGCGCGAGTGTATGCAACGCGAGGTGGGCAACAAGGCGACCATGCGCCATGATGTGGTCCGATTGGAGCGGCAGCTCAACCAGGAGAGGCTCAAGGTATCGGCCTACTCCGAGGAGCTGTCCCGCCCCTGTCGCACCCATCGCTGGCGAGTGCTTCTTGGCAAGGATCCGCGTCGCCTAGAGCTGATCCGCAAGGTGCAGCACCTCCTCCGGCGAAACATACGCCTCTCCGTGCAGCGGGAGAACATTGCCAAGGAACTGGTGGACTTGAAGCGTCTGCACGAGGAGTTTAAGCGGCAGATTAAGCATATGCCCGATCCCAGTGTGCGACAAAAACTCTGTATCCAGCAGCGCATCAGTCGCCGTCAGACCCGCCAGCTAAAGGCCATGAAAGCCGAGCTGAGGATCAACGAGATCGATCTCAAGGCCCGGGAACACTTAATAAAGGGTTTCCAGGAACAGTTGCGGTCGCATCATCGAGAGAATCAGCAGTTAACCAATGGCGGCGGGGATAGAAAGGGTTCCACTGGGGAGGCGATCGACAGTAACTTTTTGGATCATGTATTCGACTTTACTTCCACCTGCGATCTTATAGCTAAACAATCTGAGTGATTGTATCTATACTATACCCAAAACAGCGGATAATAAGGTATCTTTTTCACTTTCAAACAAATAAAGAACAACTTTTTAAAAGTTTGCTTTATGTTATTTCCTTAACCTCACTGTCTTGCCTGGTGAACAAAAGGTATACATAAGTTGTTTTTCAGAATCAGATCCTTATAAATATCTTAATATAGTTTAAATATTGGAGATTGCATAATTTAAATATAACTTATACCGTATAGGAGGAACTGAACACTGTTCTTACTTATAGCAAACTACTGACCATCTTGAAACCTGCACCAAGAGTCCTTGGCAGTTGGGCAGGCGCCGAATAGCAGTGCATCTGCTCCAGCAACTGTCGCTCCTCAAGGAGTTTTTGCTTGTGTTTTTTTTCCTCTAAAAGCTGGGTCTTCGTTAGCGCCAGGTTGACGCGCATCTCCTCCAGCTTCTCCTTTTTGGATCTCTCGTCTGCCTCCCTGGCACTAAGCTCGGCTTTGAGGACTTTTAGTTTGCGGTCCTTGGCGGATAAATTAGCCTGTTGAGTTGTGGGATAGGATGAGGTTTAGTACTTTTAAAATATATTAGCTTTGGGCTTACCTTAACGCTGTTGAGTTCCGCACGAACTTTGTGACTGGGCAGCTTGAGCATGAACTCCCTCAAAGCGGCATATAGCTGTTGGGCTTCATTTAAGGCCCTCTCCTGCTCCAACGCAGCCACATTTTGCTGGAGCAACTGCTTTCGCAAGATACTGATGCGACCCAGGAGATCCATTTTCTCTGGATCCTTGCCGCTTAGGAGCCGCCAGCGATGAACGTTCATCGGCGTGACCATTTCATCCTGTAAGGCACGCGCCTTGATCCTCTCCTGGTTAAGCATGCGGTGCATTTGGAGAAGTTCCTGGCGCAGATCCGCTGCACTTTCTCTATCTGCCCGCAGGACATCCCTTTCCGTTCGCAAATTCTTAATCTCCACCCCCATCAATCGCATGTCATCCTGGCATTGGCTGCACTGCCTCTGGGTCTGATCATACACCGTTTGGAGGTTCTCCTGGCTGTGCTTTAAACGCTCGTACTCCTCGTTCCGTTTGGTCAGTGCAGCACTGATTGCGTTCTTCTCGTTTATTAGATTGTCCGCATCCTTTCGCAGACGTGCCAGCTTTTGCTCATCCTCCTGCAGCGACTTGGCATGTCGATCGTTCTCCTTGCGCTTGTCCAACAGTTCCGCCTTGGTGTGCTGCTGACCCAGTTGTGCGTGTCGAATGTCATTGCGCAGCAGGCGTCGCTCCTTCTCCATGCGATCGATTTGCAGTTGCACTTTGGACAGCTCTGCATCCCGGTATCCGATTTTCGCCTTCAGTTTCTCCACCATCGCTTGGAAATTGACCAGTTGGTCGCGAAGTTTCTGTCGCTCCTCGTCGGCCACCTGGCCACTGCGTTGAAGCGTCTGGCGTTCGCCAGCTAGTACATCATGTTGCTGCTGAAACTTGGAGCACTTGGCCTCCAAATCGCTGATCGTGCGCTTCAGTTCAATCTCGTAGTTCTCCTTTAAGTGCATCTCGTCTTGGGGAACAAAATATAAAAAAAGGAGATACCAATATGATAGTTTATTTCGAAAACCTACTCTGAAGCGCATCCAACTTGTCTATCCAGTGCTGAATCTCATCAAGCTTCTTGGTCTTCTCCTTCTTCAGCTTGTTGGCATCTTCGTGGAGTTTCTTTAGCTTGGTGTCCATGGTGGTGATGGTGTCCTTCAGAGCACGGACTTCGTGCAGCGCCTCTTGATGCAGGTTGATGCTCTGTTCGAGTTGTTGGTGATTGGCCTGCAGTTCCCGTCTCAGGGAATCCCGCTCCTTTGTCAGGTTCTCGTTATTTTTCTCGAAATGGTGGACCACCCGTCGCATGGACTCCAGTTCCTTGTCCTGAGTGCCCAGCTGAGTTCTGTGAGAGAAAGCTTTTGTACTATTGCTTAATAAATATGGCCCTTTACTTTAGTCTTATGTTCTGCTGTTCAACGTCTCGTTTGGATTCATCTAATCCTGCATATTTCCGCGCAATTGTCTCCTGGGACTTGGAAAGCTTTCCATTGTCCTGACGAACTTTAATTAATTCATCCTCGCGCACCTTCAGCAGATTAATGCGCTGATTAAGAGCCCGTTTATTCTTATCCCTTTCCTGCACTGTGTACTCCAAATCCACTGTGATCTTGGCCAGCTTGTTGTTGGTGGCATTATGTTGGGTATTAAGATGTTCCAAGTTTGTCTTTAAGGAAAGAATCTGAAGATTCTGGCGGACTTTAACTTTGGTCAAGTGCTCGTTGGCCGACTTCATCTGGGATATTTGTTCCTGATAGCGGGACTCATCGCTCTTCATAGTTGAAAGTTCCTTGGACAAAGCATCGCTTTTACGTTTCAGGTTGCAAGCATCGCTGGAGGTTTCCTTAATAAATAAAAACCACAAATGGGAATTGAAATATATTCAGAACTAAAAGAATACAACATACATCCAGCAGTTTCAGTAACTCCTTGTTTTTGGCCTCTAATCCTTCAATTGTGCTGTCCAATTCCGTGGCATAGGTCCGTTGCAACTGCAACCTCTTGTTGAGATCGGTGATCTCGGCTGTAAGGCGTTCCCGTTCCTTTCCATCGTCACGTTTGCTCATGGCCAGACGTTTCTCATTAAGATGGGCCACCATTTGCTCCGATTCATCCAGTTTCTCGCGCAGACTCAGGACCTCATCCTGGGCGGACTGTTCACGGATCTGAGCTGCATCCTTTTGCTTCCAAGCGCCCTCTGTAAATGTAATTCGCCATTAAACAAATGACTATTATTAATTTGTATTCAGATACCTATGACTCCTCGGAGTTCCTCAATGGTGGCCATGTCCATTTTGGTGACCCGAGCAGCATTCTCCAAACGTGCCTCGAGGCTTTCGATCTCCTTTCGCAGGTCCTGGGAACGATCCTTTTCCATGCGAAGGTCGCTTTTATAGCGAGTTCCACATATGAGCAATCTCTGGACATTGTCCGCATTGTTGGGAGTGTCCTTTTGACGCAGAGCTTTCGTTGCCTATGAACAATAATTAATAAAGTTTAATTCTTAATATTAAATTTAAGTTATACCAAATCAATACCTCGGGGATTTTCTCGCATAATTCTTTGTAGAAATCATCATCGAAATCATCTGGAACCAAGGGCTCATCCTCAGATCCGGAAGCCTTCGACATCTTTCAGTTTTAAGGATCTAAACACATTATTGACCAAACCCAAAGGCGTAATCTGGTCCTGGCAACAAGTTGCCATACCGGCACAAGCTGTCAAGGGCAACACAACAGGTTTAATTGTTTACTGGAATTGTCTTTTATTTGTGTTAAGCTAATATATGTAAAAAACGACATAGTGTTCCTAGTAGCTATAGAAACAAAGTACATCCTTTAACATTTTCGTGTGAAGTCGTATATTTGTTGCCAGTTGCTCTATAAATCTCCTATTGCTTTTGAGTAAACTTTGGAATCATAGGTTAATATCTATACTACATTTTACTTAAAATAAGCAGTTGGTTGACATACACAAATGTGTTACTTTGAGCTTAAACTTTAACGTAATAATTTAAGATTGACTGGATGACATCACAATAGCTTCGATGTTGGGACTATGGCCACTCGTCTTCGAAAGGCGCATCGTTTACCGTGTGGAAACTTAATCCAGTACCTTCGGGTTTGTGCCATGAGGGAAGCAGAACAGTTCGCCAGAAGGATCTGTAAATAAGTCATAGTATTATCGTTTTTTACTAAAAATTCACTTTTCATATGAAACCCCAATTACCTGCCTCGCACCAGACCCAAAAACAATTTCCAGTTTTTCCTTGTGCCAAAGTTATAGGGATTGATGTAAATGCGTTGCTGCTGGAGAAGTCGTTTTTGCTCCGCTTCGTTGATGTGGGCCTCTACACTTGTCTCTCCGCGAGTGATTAACTTGGCATGCCAAATGGTGAGACTGCCAAGAGCCAAGACCACGGATACATTCGTGAAGGCCATAAACCACACGGCTCGGCGTCGACCAGTCGAAGGGCCATCCGTATCCACAATGGGTGTGGGCAGATTGTGTACCGCAGGGGGCAGCATGAATTCATCGTACTCATGGGGATGGGTCTGAAAAAACAATCTATTGAATTAAGTGCTCGGTAAATTTCAGTTTACTGACTCACCACTGGAATGATATGCCCACTGAGGTTATACTTGACCGGCTGCCCCTCTAGGGGCTCAATCTCCGTCCAGGCTTCGCCATGATCCAGCCACAGGTATTTGTGACCAATCTCCAGACCAAACAAAATAAGAAACAGGCAACCTAGAGTGGTGTACATCATGTAGAGGAAGAAGTACCGATGATTACCGTATCCCACACAGTTGTTTAGCCATGCTATAGATAAAATATTGTTAATCCTTTAAATCCTTTAAAAATACCGATACTCACGGCAGTGGTGATCCATCTTGAGGATGCAGCGATTACAGACGGAGCAGTGATGAGTCCTTGGTGGTTTGGGGGCTATGCACTTCCCGCACATGCTGACCGCCTCCACTAGGGACACACCTTCCGGCGGATGGCCAGCCGGCGTGATTACAGCCATCACATAGTGGAAAACGACATTAAGCAACAACCAATTGCCCACAATGATAAGGAAATAGGTGACCAGCTGGCTTTTGGCATACCAAAAAGGCAAACCAATCCAGTAGGCAATGCTCACAACCGAAGTGGTCAAGGCAGCCACGCCTACCACAAAGAACTGAAAGGGATAATGCGGTTAGTGGCTATAGGTGTTGAAAATGCAATTTAGTATTTTAACCTTCTTTTTTCTATGGCATGTTTTACATTTTCGATTACTAAATATGTTAAACTAAAAATTAACAATTTAAATTTGTATTGACAAAAAAATATATTTAGAATACAAATTTAAGAATTTTTGAGTACCAACAGAAAAGGCAAATATAAAAAAAAATGTTTAAATATAAATTTATTAACAAAATTTTAAACTAATTTAACTACAGCGCATTCTAATCATTTTCAAAATAGCAAGCTTTGGAAAAATGTTATGTAGGATAGTGTTACCGGTCCCAGGCAGTGAGTGTAGTTGTCCACAAACCAAAATATTGGTGTCAAGCAGACGTCCGACGCGTAGGAGGAGTTCATATGAGCGTTAAAGGTCAGCGAATGCCAGCAGTGTTTCATGTAGGACCATCGAAGCCGACAAATAGAACTGCATAAAAGTAAACAATAAACAAAAACAAACCAATTGGCGTTCCAATTGGAAACTGAGGGTTGGCAAAGCTTACAGCAGCTCCTGACTGGAGTGACCTCGCCAGGTAATGCGCGCCATTGGTATTCGGGGGCTTTATCCTTTTTCTATAACTTCTTAACTTTATTTCAACATATTTGGCATTAAATAAACTATTTTGGCGATAGAAATGGCAACCACTGTTCGGTGTGACCTTCAATTCTTTTTGTGAAAATCTATGTCTCAGCTGTTGCCTATCGATGTTTGGGTCTCTATCGCATTATTAATCTATTGTATTTTGTTCACCCCTAATTTGTTTTGCATTTTCCGGTGAAATTGTTAAAAAATTATATTTTCGACATGCGCCCACGCAGCAGGAGTCGCAGCAGACAAAGGGTGCGCCGCAGATCCGATTCCGGAGATCGATTCCCGCTCGGAAAGAAGGACAAACCACAAATCGCAGCACCGTCGATCGGTTTCCCGGGAGAGGGAACGAGACAGAGAGCTCCACAGGGAAAGGACCTCAAATCGCAGCTCCCGCCGCTCCAGGGAAAAGGATGCAGTGCCCCGTCGTCGGAGAACCCGTTCCTCGTCCTCTAGCAGCTCAAGCACCAGCAGTGGCAGTTCCAGTTCTTCTAGAAGCCCTTCCAGAAACCGCAAATCCCGACCAAAATCCGTGGAGCGCTGGCCTAACGATCGTTTCCACGAAAACAACGACAGGCGGCAGAATCCTTTCCGAGGAAGGGCTCCCGAGGGCAGTTTCATTAATGACCCAGCTGAACCATCGACAAGATCACAGCATCGGGGTCGAGGAGCCTCTAACCACCAGCCGAAAGGCGATTTCAAGGCGGTAAATGCCCGCAGGAACCAAAGGGTGCGCATCGGCGAAGAGGGCGTGCCAGATGTCTGGGGCAAGAGCCCATCTCGGCCAGAAAGCGATGACGTGGAGCTGGTTAAGGGTTCCTACATAGGACCCAAAAAGAAAAGGAAAAAAGGTAAAAACAAACACAAAAAGTCGGACAAGAAATCCAAGAAAAAGTCTAAGAAATCCAAGAAGAAAAAGAGCAAGAAGGAGTCTAGCTCCTCGGAGGACTTCTCTTCCAGTTCGTCTAGTAGCGAGGACAGCAGCGATGAATCCAGCAGCTTAAGTTCCAGCTTTGAAAGTGAAAATGAGTCCGACGAGAAAGATGTTTGGTTGGAAAAGACCGCCGAGGGCATCAAGAAATCCAAAAAGAAAAAGTCTTCAGCGAGCAAAAAGGATAAAAAGTCAAAAAAGAAGAAAAAGAAAAGAAAATCTGAGGCGGAGAAGTCCAAGAAGGGCTCAACATCTAGTGGTAGCAGGTCAAAGACGAGGGATAGCGCATCCCACAATGACGAGGATGTGGGCCCATCGCTGCGAACTGGCGGCAGCCTGAATCAAAAAGATTTCGGCAAGGCTTTGCTGCCTGGAGAAGGTGCCGCCATGGCTGCCTACATCGCCGAGGGCAAGAGGATTCCTCGCCGTGGCGAGATCGGCTTGACCTCCGATGAGATCGCCAACTTTGAGTCCGTCGGCTATGTGATGAGCGGCAGTAGGCATCGCCGCATGGAGGCCGTGCGCATCCGCAAGGAGAACCAGCTGTACTCCGCTGACGAAAAGAGGGCACTGGCCATGTTTAGCAAGGAGGAGCGACAGAAGCGAGAGAACAAAATCCTGTCGCAGTTCAAGGACATGATCCACTCCAAGCTGCAGGCCAAGGACAAGAAGTAGACGAGCCATTTGTTGGATTTGTAGAAACGAGTTTAAGACTTTTTTGAATATAAATCAAACCCACATTCAAAGGAAACTAAGGCCAACGAATCATTAATACTTCATGATCTTGTAAACATATTAATAAATGGAATAATTAAAAATTGTAGAAACCAATTAAACTTAAAAAAATGTGTATACCAATTTAATTTCCGTGTAAATGAATCGTACATACCGATTTTGTTATCACCGATGCATAAGGTTTTTTATATATCCAGAAAAAAATTCCACATATCAAATAAAAGTATACTTATAAAATATATTTTTGAAAATGTTATTAGAATAGTGTTAGGGAATAAAAATTGATTTTTTGTTTTACAATTTTAGAAATGGACACCCTGTACCCTGCATAAAAGTGCGCCAGCGATATTTGGCATTCATAGTAATCCAGCACTTGGTCACACTGCCGAGATGCTCGAGAAAACGTGGGGTTGAAAAACCTTTGACCAAAACTGTGCCAATTCCACAATTAAACCGCAAAGTTTGCATAATTCGCCGGTTGACTCGATGTCTGCACTTATTTACCAGACCCATTAACCGAATTCCGCGCGACAGAGTGTAAATTTTCGTTTAAATCGCGAGTTGGATGTGCGAAAAAAATCATCTGCGGAGGGTGTTGGTGCGAGTGAGACAGTAGCTGGCGAAGAGCGGAGCAAAACAAACTAAGGCTAACCGGCAGGAAAGAAGAAGAGGAGGAAGAAGAAGAAGGAGATAAGCCAAATACAATTGAAAAATACATTGATAAACATACACCCACGAAAGCACGGCACACCCACAAACACATTGCTTCGTTTAATCAATTAACGGGACAACGGCCGAAGAAACAGCTACAGTTCGTTTTCAGACGTCGCGTGCGAAGATTGTGTCACAGAGCTGCGGGATAATAATACTACAATTCCTGGATATAACACTAAATAGCCACCATGCCCGCCATCGATGAACTGCAGTCGCCCTCGAGTGAAATGGTGCTTCTGACCCCCAGTTCTGGAAATCCGCCCTCCAGCATAGCCCAACCTGAAACTAATCCCCCCGAAAAATCTCAAGGTCGAGAAGGGTCCGCCGAGTCCGATAGCAGTAGGGTGGCTATCAAAAAACAACTGGGCCTTCTCGAAGGCGTGGCCATCATCCTGGGTATTATCTTTGGCTCAGGAATCTTCGTATCCCCGAAAGGCGTTATTCGCGAAGTGGAGTCCGTGGGCGCTTCGCTGGTCATCTGGATTTTGTGCGGCCTACTGTCCATGATAGGAGCTCTTTGCTATGCGGAACTAGGTACCGCCATACCCAAGTCTGGCGGGGATTACGCCTATATCTTCGAGGCATACGGATCGCTGCCGGCGTTTCTATATCTCTGGGATGCCATGATGATATTTGTGTGAGTTTTACTAGGGTTATGAACATTATGAATGTATTGTTTAAATATTTGTGTATGTATATTGTGACAGTAAACTTTCCTTATTTACATTTTTTGTTTTCAAAAAAGTAAAATTAGTAGCAAATTACCTTTATAAATCGATTTTTAATTACCTATCTAATATCTGATCTACTGATAACTGATGTTTGAAACTTTTTACTTAAAATTGGTTCGAGTCAGGATTTTAAAATTTTAGTAACTTATAGAAAGAAATGAAATAAAACTTAAATCTTGTGTATTAAATCATGTGAATCAAATAATATAGTAAAGAATTGATTTTAATTTGTATTATTATTATTGATTATAATTTTTATTATTATTATTATTGATTATAAACTTAATTATACCTAAAAAAATGGTTTTCATATAATAACTGAAGTATTTCAGAAACGTGTGGTAATACCTCGATTCTAGGTACTGAACATTATTTTCAGACAGGGTCAAGTTCAAAAGCTGTCCTAGATAAGACTAGAAAGCAGAAATTACTTCAGATTGGTGTGAATGTAGCAGGTTTTTCAAGGTTTAGGCCATCGGTTTTATATTATATAGAAAGTAAAAACCGAACTTATCACGTAATCTACACCGTATACATTAATTTATTGACCGTTTTATTTGCTGCTATTTTCGCCATTTAGGATCGGCGATAAGCGCAAATATCTGCTTTTCCACTTTTGCATGCGGAGATTATCAGTGTACATATGTACATATGCCTTAATGCAGTCTGCGTAAATTTTCCACTGATTATGTGTTCTTATCTCTTGCAGACCCACGACTAATGCCATTATGGGCCTGACCTTTGCCTCCTATGTGCTGGAACCCTTTTTCGGCGGAGCCTGTCACATTCCGAAAATAGCCCTGCAATTGCTGGCGGCTATAACCATCTGCTTCCTCACCTACCTAAATTCGTACTACATGAAGGTGACCACCAAGATGCAGAACATAATTATGTTCACGAAGATCGCTGCCTTAGTGATGATCATCATCGTCGGCCTGGTTTGGATGCTAATGGGCAATGTGGAGAACTTCACAAGACCCTTCGATAGTACTGAGACTGATCCCGGCAAGATGTCGGTCGCCTTTTACTCCGGGATCTTTTCGTATGCCGGTTGGAATTATTTGAACTTTATGACGGAGGAACTGCGGGATCCCTATCGCAATCTGCCGCGTGCCATTTACATCTCACTGCCGCTGGTCACCGGCATTTATGTGCTGGCTAACGTGGCTTATCTGGCCGTGTTGTCGCCATCCGAGATGATCGCCTCCAATGCCATCGCTGTGGTAAGAATTGAGCGACCCTGTTCCGATCAGATTGTGAGGGAATCGAGATTAAAAATTTTTAAAAAATCACTTTTTTGTTTTTATGTTTCGTTCTCAAAACATAAAATTTCTATAAAATATCAATTAAAAAAGGATTTTACTTTTTAGTATTACCTATTATTTATTTCCAGTTTACGATCGCAATTTGCAAGTTCTCTAGAAAAGTTAATTTATTTGATCGGAAAAGGCAACTATTAAACCAGAACGGTTTTTCAAACGATTTTAATTGTTCTCTCTCCACAGACATTCGGCGATAAGATTCTTGGCGCCTTTTCATTCGTTATACCAGTCATGGTGGCCATCTCTGCCTTTGGCGGCCTGTCCGTCCACATCATGACCTCCTCCCGGATTTGCTTTGTGGGTGCCCGCAACGGACACATGCCGGCGATATTGTCGCACATCAGCGTAAAGAGCTACACGCCGCTACCGTCGCTCGTTTTTCTGGTGAGCTGCGCCCCTCAATTAGCACACAAATGATATTATGTAATTAATCCCTAATTGATATGGTTGTGTCCCTCTCGACAGTGCTTTCTCTCCATTGTGATGCTGGTGGTGAGCGATGTGTATGTGCTGATCACCTACGCTAGCATTGTGGAATCTTTCTTTATAATGTTGTCCGTGTCAGCGGTTTTATATTTCCGATACACCCGTCCCTGCATGGAGCGCCCAATTAAAGTGAGTTTAGAGTAATCAGTGCTGCCGATCTAGGTTTAGCTAATTCGTTTTTAGCAAAATCAACCTTTCAACAATTAAAGTCATAAAAACTCTAAAATTTTTGTTGTGGTCGATTTTATATAAATATTTGTACCTACTAAAACTGAAAGGTTCTTAATAATTTATGTAGAATTAAACCCAAGGCCACAAATTAAATCCCTTCTATTATATATAGTAATATCTTTTGTTCCTTAAAATTCAAAAAATATATAAGCTATTTTTTTTAACTGCTTCAAATATTTTTTTTTATTTTAAATGTGAAATAGTTTTGGCTATTAAATTAAACCTTTATTTAGCAACACTGAACCAAATGCATATTATTTACTATAATCTATTGTTATTGCTGTGACAGGTCGCTTTGTGGATACCCGCCTTATTTGTCATCGTGTGCGCCTTTCTAGTCGTCGTGCCCATTTATGTGGCGCCCTACGAGGTAGGTATGGGGGTATTAATCACCCTAATTGGCATACCTTTCTACTATGTGGGTGTCGTGTGGAAGAATAAGCCGAAATGGGTGCAGCGCACGATTGGTGAGTATTCCTTCATATTAACCCTTATGTGTGGCATTGTCCGACATTTATATGGTTTTCCCTTCTAGACTCGTTGACCTTCACTTGCCAGAAACTCTTTATGTCTGCAAAAGAGGAGAAGCAGGACTAAACTGCCTCCTTGTTAAACCAAAAATGGATATAGTCGAAACAGCACTTGACGAGTTACCGAAATCAGCAGCATTTTGGACTTTCAATTGTCAATCTGTTTCCTATGTGACCGCTTGAGGAGGAGAACTTTGACTTGTTGAACCTGAATACCAAAAACAGAAAAAATATTTATAAAAAGCGAAAAGCAAGACCTCTACATCACAAGAACTGGAACACGATGTCAATACTATTTCATATATCTATATTTATAAACCATGACAAACTACGTTTACCTAAAGTGCAAACTCTTCGAATAGTAGTTTAGTTTTGATTTAGAGCTTAGCATTTATTCTGCACTTATTTTTTAAATTCTATACCAAAGTAAGCCAAAAACTGTTTGCCAAAGTTGCGATATTCAGTTCGATATTTGCCATATTACCCTCTTTTGTTGCTTATTGTTTAAAAATTCAGTTATTACATTGTTTTTGTCCCTCATTTAGCTAACTAAGTGCATTGAAATTTTGTAATAAAGATTTTTGTACGTTTTAACGAGCTTTTTTCAGTATTTTAGGTGCTCGCCGCAAAAGTATGCAATGAGATGTTTGCAAAAGATAAAGCAAAACAATTGATAAGGTTGAATTGATTGAGCATTGCGTGGGATCTAAGCCTCTACGACTCGATGCCTCCGCTAATCAATTAGGGCTAATAAATAATGGGTCTATTTTAAGCCATTCATGACGGAGAAGTCGCGATTTTTGCCAAAAATAAATCGCCGCCTGTCGCCGCCTTTGACATTTCGGACAATAGGAGGTTCGAAGAATGACGCCAGCGCTATATTCGATCATTGATAGAGTATTCCGCGCGGATCCGTACTCGCGTCTAGGTGTTTTTAATTGATAAAACTGTAGCGCATATCTGGGATTCGCTACACGGTTCGCAGGTGCGCCCATCTATATCTACGCGAAAACTGGGCGAGAGTAGTAGACTGATTTGTATGCGCCGTATTCGGCGTCTCGTTTAATGTCTTTTTAAGTATTTATATGCAGGGAGTACGTCTAGTTACCAGATCGCTCGTAAAATCGCCTCAATTCGATTTGATGTTTTTTATTATGGCCAAATAATTGAGTTATTGCGACTGGTCGGGCATCATAAGTGCGATGGGAGGCTCCCGATCTTGGGCTGTAACTGCTTTATTAGTGATCTTAGACGAATGCTATTTCAACAATTAGGGATAGGATAAACAACAACTTGCTAAACGGATGCTAATTGCTGGCACGTGAGTTTCGCCACAAAAGAAGCCATATTTCGCTCTTGACGAACTATTCCACATTTATTGATCGATGCGGACAGTTTACTTAGTGATCGATTCGGAGGCGTTATCTAGCAAATATTGAGATATTCTGCTGCTGAAAAAGAGGTTGACGTTTGCATAATCAATTGCATGCTAGATTAAACGAATCGGTTTCAAACGGAGATGAGTTCCTTTTGATCAAAGCTGCCCATGTGATAATCATGCGATTACTCTCTGACAAACTAACATCTATTGACACCTTTTGGGCAATATTTTGAGGTCTTCACAATCGTGCGCAAACAATAAAATTAGCAATGGGAAATCCAGCTAATTACTAAGCTGAGCGGACCGAAAACAACCGGTTACTGAAATATTTGCAAAACTAGATTAACTGAATTAAATTGGATTGATTGATAATAGGTGTATTTTTCTTGGCTAAAAAAACATAAATTATAAAAAATCAATTTATTATAAAAAGATGAACTAAAATATTTATAAAACCAACATTAAAAAATCAGCCTTATAAATTTCCAATGTATTAGGAAAACAATTGCAATATTTGGTAAAGAATTTCATAGCCTTAATGAACGAATACAATCGCCAAAAAAAAATTTTAAATAAATATGGTCCTTTTTTTAAAAATGAGTAGTTATGATGTACAAATTACAAATGATAAGTCTAACAACTTAATTTTTTTAAAGGGTTGAGTTATTAAATGGGTAATATATTTTTTTTAACAAAAAAAGGACGAGGAAAGCGATTTTTTGAATTGCTGTATATATGTATTCAGATCTATTAGCTTACAAAGAAAATATGTCACCTTTTTCAGGCATTAATGACGGGACCCTGACAACTAAAACCCATTCTAAGCCTTGGCATTTGAATGTCTGGTATCTGGTGTGTCTGGACAATTTAATTGCAAATATCTGAGTTCGTGTGCCTGCTCAATACCCACCATAAAGATATAAATAGATATCAGAATGCCCTCTATATATTTACAATTGCCACATTCCCACATGTGGATCACGAACTGCCCATACATGTGTAGTGACAACGTTACAGAACGCACAAAAAACGGCAGAGATCGGGTAATAAAAACTGAAAAACGCTCCGATTCCCCGGCCTAAAACTGTAAAACGTGCGAAAATCGCTCAATGAATATTCCGTTTCGCCTCGGTAGCGTTCGATCGCTTCGTTTTTTTGAGGACTCCGCTTTTAATTAGCGACTTTCGGCATGACGTTGTCGCGACTCGTTGGCTTAGTAACGCCAACTGACTGGCCGAAAACAAACAAATAAATCGGTAAATTGTATGCAAAACAAAATATTATCATAAATGATCGAAGGCGGCATTAGGTGCGAATTATGACGAGTTTTACCCTTTGATTTTGGCTCACATTGATCGACATAATGACGCCCTTTTAATTTTTTTTGGGCTGGGCGGTGTGATTGAGTTTCCGTGACGTTAAGTATACGCAGTGTGTTGTGCGTTAAGTATACGCAGGGTGGTGCAGCAGTAGGCTAGCATTTCGCAAGTTGAAACTCAATTTCGCTAAGTGGGGATACTTAGTGGGGTGGTTGTGCACTATGTACCGATCCTCAATACCCCCTTCCCCACCGAATTCCCAACGATCGATCGATCGTCGGCTGTTCGCGCGACTCTTTTTCGCTGGTGTGAGTACCTATCTGTGTGAGCGGTGCACGCGCTTCGGGCGGGGATTTCAGCTTTCGAATTTTCAAGTAGTTCGTTGACTGCCCGCTGAGGAAGTTGTGAAGGTGCTCCGCCAGCGAAACGTCCGCGCAGTCTAGAATCCGTCATCCGATCGGAAGGTGCTATAGCCGCTCGTCAGGAATCAAGAACTTGGAACACCGATCATTAGGAAATCCACAATGAAGTTGGCCACTTTCTTCGAGGCTTCGTTCTTGGTGATCTGCTGGTCGCAAGGTAATTACCTGCCATTTCTACGTAGTCCTGTGACTCATTCGTATTTGTCAGTGTTCAAGTTGAAGCTAAAAATATTGTGAAGCCCAAAATAGCCATAAATCGATATCTTTTCGCGTGAAGTGCTTCTGACTACGTCTTAATGGCTAGTCATACCCCACGGTGTTCTTGCAATCCACATACTGAAAAAAATGTTTCTCTTGTGAAATAAAACTATCTGAATACCATATTTTGAAATGCCAATTCTATTTATATATTCCCTTTTTTAGTTTATAATATTATTAAATAATTTAAATAGTTTCTCAAAATATCAAGTTTATAAATTTTTTATTTTTTTTATTTTAAATTGCGTAAGATATGACAGCCAAACATTTAAAGTTTAAGCTTTTTTAGTCTTTTTACATTTAATATGTAAACTTGAAAATAATAATTTAAAGCATGTTAGCTTTAACTCATTAAACATTTAGTTTTTCTCTGTGCAGTGGTTCTTCTTGAAACGCGTATGACTATTCGTATCTGTTACGAAATGCCAATACCTGATATTGGGGGGATCTTGGCATTAGCAGTCATAAGTACACACTTCACGAAACTAATTTTGACCAGTTTAATGGTGTTTATTCCACTTGAAACTGTCAATTAATACATTTTATTGGCCACCGATTGATTTAGATGTATTGCTGGACTTGACGGGAAGTTGTTAAGGCTTTATAATTTTGCCAGGCATTAGCAATTAAAACCCTTCACAAAATGAAAACAGTTATCTTCGGAGAAGCTCTATAAATATTATTTACATGCTAAACGAACATCTGTAATCTACACTTTAAGACTGTGACATATTTATTTATTTTCTTAATTACTCCGTGCTTAAATGATTTAACTTCCTTTGGCTGGCTCGCTTACAACAAACCAATGCAAATAAATAGTCAAAGTAATATGTTTATAATATACAAAGTGGATGACATAATATCAAATGGCCATACCTGACAAATACTACTAATTTTAACTAATTTATTATCTAATAAGTCTTTGATAGCCGGGTCTGAATTCAATAAAAGTATATATATGTTATTACAAATAAATACTTAATTAAACTAATTCATCAATCGGCGAGTGGTGCACACACAAATATGTGCTTTATCGAGCACCTGTGTAGACTATCCCCACACAATGGAAAACCGTGTCATATGATATGTTAATTCGTAGCGAGCTCTTCAAACTGAAATTATCACCAATCACATGCAAATTAGCCTTTAAATAAGTATTTCCTTTCGCCTTGCAAAAGATTCCATGGAATTTGCTGCCAGCTTTCAATCGCGGTGGAAAATAATGAAAACTGTTTGCTCGCGCCATTATCTGGATCTCTATCAATATCAATCGCGGCGATATCTAATTATTGGCTCGAACGTGCCCTTGACGTTCGCACTCTCCGGAGCTTTCCCGAGAAGCCTGTTTACCCAGTTAGTTATTTATTTGTCCAGCCATTGACTAAAAAAAGAAAGAAGCCTTAAATATTTGTTCGCAGCCCCATTTATTATGCCGGAATTCACAAGTGCTCGTATATGTCACAGATAGCCCCGGAAAATCGGGAGAAGGTCAAGTGAGGGGGTGAATAACACGGGCACGTGATCACTCATCAATCGTGGATTCAAGATCGCAGATTGTGGGTGTAGGTGACGGGGTGTCTGCAAATAGAAAAACACTTTAATCATTTTGTCCGATTAAGGACTAAGAGAGCATTGCAGCGGCAAATTGATTGCGGCCTTATTGCGGAATGGCGGCATACATAAGCCATATGGTTTGATTTAATGGGATTAACAAATCTGGAAACCAAATGCCTTTAAATCTGTCTAATTAACCTAATTAAGCATATTTAAATAATTTATGTTCGATTATATTAATAATAACTTTTCTTATTATGCAATTTTGCCAATTCAAATGAAAACATTTCAATTTGAAAAAGTTAAACTTTGCATAAATTTCAAACTCGTTTGGGAAAGAATCGCTTTATAGGCATGTAACGCTTGTTCTGCCCTTAAGTGTAATTTGCTTCGGTAAAAATTATTCAAGGTCAAAAATATACTCAAGAATCGTCTTACTTAAAAACAACTACCTCTTTCAGCTGTCAGCAGCCATGTCTTCGGCTACTCTGAGCCCAACCAGCGCCGCTGGGCCCGCCACCATGGTCACTGTGCGGGGAAGACCCAATCCCCCATCGCCATCACCACCAGCCGGGTAAGAGTTCGAACTTTGGACCCAGTTAATCATCACAATTACTAGCCCTATTTGTTCATGTTTAGACGATACCCGTACATATGCCGGCGGTGGACATGATTGGCTATCACAACCTCCTGCCCTATCCGCTTAAAATGGTTAACAACGGACACACGGGTAAGACTCTAAGGGGATACTCATAACACGATAACAAATTATTACTCCTTTATGAATTTAATAATTCTAAAAAATATATAAAATAATGTTTTTAATAAAAGGTACATTTGGAATTTACTTTGTATAAATATTCATTATTTAAGTTTAATTTTCACATTAATAAATAATATCTTCAAAAATCGTATAATTTTATTATTATACAGTTACTAATAAAAAAAACTATTAACACTCCCGTTGTAAGATTTCTACGTAGATATATTTCTCAGTGAAATATTAGTGCTGATTGATTTTCTACCTTGCAGTTTCCATTACCATACCCAAGGTCAACGTGACTGAGGTGGGCGAGGATTTTCTGCCCTACGTCCGGGGCGCCAAGTTGCCCGGCGAGTTTGAATTGGAGGGCCTGCACTTCCACTGGGGCGACAAGAACAACCGGGGATCCGAGCACGTCATTAACGACATCCGCTACACCATGGAGATGCACATTGTTCACCGCAACAAGAAGTACACCACCATTGGCGAGGCTCTAAATCATCCGGACGGTGTCGCTGTCCTGGGATTCTTCTTCAATGTGAGTGGAAGAGGGGTTTGCTCATTTTCAATGATTTGTAAACCCATTTGTGTTGTCCCCACAGCTCGACGAGGATGAGGGTCAGGGCCTGGTGACTATTAATCGGCATTTGCATCTGATTGCCGATGCCAACGAGGAGGCCACGCTGAACGTCACCTTCTCGCTCTCCTCGCTGATTGCTGGCGTGGATGTGGACAAGTTTTACACCTACAAGGGTAGGTACCATAGACCTAGATTGGGATATTTGTGCACCAATGGTTCTTAGGCGTAAAAAACATTTAAAAAGTATTTACTTTCGAATATATTGCTTTCATGCGGATTTATCATCTAATTTAAAATCATTGAGGTCTTAAACATTTTCTGCGTGTTATTCTCGAGGGGAGCGCCCACAATTAAAATTCAGTGATGGTTTCTAGAGACAATAAATCAGCACTGGTTAAGTGACAACAAATTGATTTATACAAGTGATGTTTATCTGTATTGTCACTCAACTAAATACTATACATTAACTTCTCATAGGTTCCCTAACCACGCCACCATGTTCGGAGGCCGTCACCTGGATCCTGTTCCCCGATCCCATCCCGATTTCGCCCAAGCAAATATCCCGCTTCCGCCAGTTGTCCGATACGCAAGATGGAGCGTTGGTGGACAATTTCAGGACCCTGCAGCCCGTGGGCAATCGCAGGATCTTTGCCCGAACCGGTCACGTGCGTCACACCTCGATTGCGGCTCTAAAGCACGACGGCGACTATCTCAAGTACGACTGGTTCTACTGATCTATTGACTCAAACTGGCAGCCGGATGTGGAGCACTGTGCCATCCCATATTAGGATACCTCTAAATTAAGCATTTATTAAGTTAAACTAACATTTAGTCTAACCATACACACAAAAAAACGTTCTACAATCAAGACAATTAAATTCTTCAAATGTCAGCAACGGAGTGTTGTGCTTGAATTAGATCAAAATAAAATACTTACAAAATATAATACAATTAATTCGGCTTTGTTTTTTTTAATGTCATTTACATATGTCAACATAGAGAAGAGAAAAACAAAATCTACCTGAACTAAATCTATTGGAAACTCTTAAAAGCACAATTAAAAAAATTAAATTAAATAAAGTATTTTTTAATTGTCAATAATATATATAATTTTGTCTAAGATAATACAAATTAATTAAAACAAGAGAGAACGCTATAGTCGGGTGCCCCGACTATCAGATACCCGTTACTCAGGTAAAGGGAGTGCGAGGGAGATAGAAACTTTGATCACTCATAACTTTTTAACGAATGGTCCGATTTGAAAAATTTCTTCTACATTTCGATAGGTATTGATAAACACAATAAAACTGCATTTTTACTTTTCCGAAATATTTAAATTTTTAAAATCGTATATAAGCGATTGTGTGCGTCAGAGGGGGCGTGGCACCTTTTTGAAACAAACTTGCGCTGCGTAGGAACTCCTAGAATCTGCATGCAAAATGCCAATCTTCTAGCTTTTATAGTTTCCGAGATCTCAGCGTTCATACGGACGGACAGACGGACAGACAGAACAGACGGACAGACGGACAGACGGACATAGGGCTATATCGACTCGGCTAGTGACCCTGATCAAGAATATATATACTTTATAGGGTCGGAAACGCTCCTTCCTGCTTAGCTGTTACCATACTTATTACGCACGGAAAATAAATTAATAATTACCTTTATCAATAAAATTTAATCTTCGAAGATAACGGGTAAATTAATAAAATGTTGAAATGATTTAACGAAATAAAAATTTTGCGACATTGGCAGAGAGAAATGGCAACGTTAAATATTTATAAAAAATAAATCTCAATTTAAAGAGTTCCGGGAAAAACTTTTGTTAAGGTAGGAATAATATTTTTTAGATATTAGGAATAATATTTTTTAGATATTATTCCTTCAGTAAGAAAATTATAACACCTTCTACGTAATCATGTGTGATTTGCGACCATACAAGGCCAAGGAGGTGGGTATATCCTCTACAAAGAAGCTGGCTGGAAACAGAGAAAATGTCTTGTGGAGAAGATCCAGTAGTGTTCGTTCAACGGTTTCATCCACTAGTGGACGTAATGCCTCAAAAACATCCTTCCAATTGTCGTTAAAAAATTGATTAGTGCTCTGTTCCACCTCTTTACTGTGCCCGTTAAATAGGTTATCCATTCTGGTCCGCACTTTGCCGACCTCCAACTTAACCTTCACAGAAGTCACGTTATAGAAGGTGTATCCACCCTTTTCGTATAGGCGAGTCTTGGTGCTCATCAGTATGTCCAGATCATCTGTCGACGGCAACAAATCCGATTATTTTTTATATAGACGCAAAAATCAGTTGTATTTACCGATTTCCATGACGATTTTTCCGGACCCTTGCAAAGGCACCAGCAAAATGCGGCCCAACATTTTGTAATGGCCATCCATTCGCATCTTGGGCAGGAAGATCTTCGTCAGCCAACTGAAGTCCTTCTTGCTGACCCTAAAAGGAATAATAAACATCAATGATTCAGAAAACATTATATTTTAATCTTTTATTCTTAAGTTTTGAATTTATTCCGTAAATTAAATTATTATATTCAAATATGATTAATTTTTTTTTCCTCAATCGCTTAGTTAGTTTAACTTATTTTAAGCTGTGCAAGCTGTATTCATACATTTTATTATTTGGTTACTCAAAAGCTATTATTGTGACTATTTTTTGTGTAATGACTTTGCCTTCTGAGCTTCTTTATATAAACCATATCAAATTAAGGTTAATATTACTCAGTATATGACTTAAAAGATTTAAATTTAATCTTGCTTAATGAATACATATAATTGCTATATATGTAGTTTTTTATATCCCAAAGATATCTTGAGTGCAGTCCACCAAATGATTTATGTAAAATAATTAATAATACTTGTTAATTGCTTTATGGCGTTTTTAATTGATACGAGTTTAGAAATAAAAAAGATAAAAATAACAATCCCGGTTTACCATATGTTTACGAAAATTCGCGAAAAAATGTTCGCTTGTGGTATATCAAAGACCGCACCCGATCAACTTTTGATCGCTCTTGACAGCTGGGGAAAACCGATACTTACTTGCTCTCCTTGATCACCATTTTGCCAAAGCCGCTGATCAGCATGTTGGTGAGATTTGCCGAAATGGTGGCCACATCGCTGTTGTCCTGCTTGAAGACCAGCTGATCCTGTCGCATGGGGTCAATGGGGCCAAAGGATTCTTCTAACTCAGGTACTCCCTGAAAGAAATTGTTATGTCAGTCATTTCAGTTAAAGGTAGTATAATGATATCTCACCTTTGACAAGCTGGTTCATGAAGGCCTGTATAGATCGTGTTGAGCACTTCGTAAACTCCGGTTCATAAATTCGACACGATTCAATATAGGAGGCTGCGAATAAAGTATTTCCGCATTAGACTTGTGGCACAACCAAAAATAAATGGAAACTTCACAGGCTGTATAAAGCCAATTAAAATTATAACACACTTCATGTTTATATTGCTTCTTAATTACTCTGGGAAATACCTAAGCAAACTGCGTTGTTTTTCTAAGGTAAACTTATTCTATTTAATATTTGAAGCCCAGTTTTTTTCTGTCCTATTTAAACTGTCTGAAGATATTCAAGTTATTCTTTTAACGAGTCCTTTTGGTGTTTTAAATTAAAGTTTCTTACGTTTTTCTGTGTAGAACGCAACACACTGGACGCCTTGGAGGCCGACATGGAGAAGCATCAGTAAGCCAATTATGTACATGGTTGAAAGTTGTCGTCACTGTCACAGCCGGAATCCCAGTCACAATCAGCAGAGGCCCCTAATCGAGTTTATACGCGCGATTTACGAATGAGATATAACTCGGAGCGTTGCTGGATTTTATCTGAACTATATATAGTCGATGCTGATGACTCGGGTGCAATTGATGAATTGAGTTTGAAACCTCTGGGTAATACCAGAATCGAGCCATTTTCATTTTCCAGCAATGCGAAAAATTTATTCCATATTTATTGCACGAGAGTATTAAAGCACTGAACAAAATTTTATTATCCATTTTCATATACAATTAGCGTCAGCTTCTTCACCTAGACTTCACTTAAATTATATTTATTATGCAGAAAATCAAAAAACAAAATCTTTAAAAAGTTTCTAAAATGAAATTCTGGATAGACTTTACAATATTTCTGTCTTTAAATTTTTATTTGCCACTGGTTTAATTACGACTTTTGTTGTCGTGTAGCTACTTTATGCGACTCTGAAACTGTAGCGACTTTACCTTGCCACCGAACCGGTAAGCTAATTTGTTCTAGCTGGAAAATACGCTAACAACTACGCCAGCAACAAAAACAATGTTTGTTCAAATACTCGTATCAGTCAGCTCTGCTTTGATCTGGGCAAATTTAATTGCTCGGAGTGATGTGTACTAAGAAACTTAAGCTGCCATAATAAAAACATTAAATAGATTGGCATCTTTACAATGTTTTGTATATAAAATATCTAATAAAATTATTAAAACTTTGGACTGGGCTACTGTAAAAAATATTTGTAGCATCAACTCTAACAATCACAATTTCAATGATGTCATGGTCTTGCACTTATTGTTTTTGTATTTTGCAAAGTCGATATGTGTATTTCACTTGGGGAGGAAAGCTTCAATTCCGGTGATAAGGTTACGACTCTCTGATTCTCAAAACTAAGACGTTTGTAGGAATAATTTATAATAAATATTAAATTTGTTGAAGATCTTAGTTTTTTAAGTTTATTAAGACGTAACGTAATTAAACGTATTTCATTTTATCGAACCTCGATTGACTTTGCCTGATAAGTCTTTTCAGGCGGATGTTTTTAAATACGGCTCCCGATGGTACAGAACAATGGGATTTCCCCTGAGTTAAAAAAATATATAAAGGAATGTTGATGGTACGGAGTAGGGAATATCCACCATGTTTTCAATTTTTCTTTTTAAAAAATTAAAGAATGCCATAGACAACCACATATTCAATATTATAAAAGGCTCATGCATGTCTTGTTTACAATGATAGGAAGAATGATGTGGAACTAATGGAATTTTATTTCTAGTAATTATATTAGGAATGGAATGTTTTGTATGAAATGTTATTTTTAGTAATTATATTAGGCACAGTAACTTGAATCTACTTGAAAAGGACGGTTAGGCTTGCCCCACTGTTAAGGGCACGCAGACCAAATAGTAAAAAGATATTGTCTATGTCTATATAATTAAGGATTTTAATCAAGGTGAAGAATAGTTCAGAATTAGACGGAGGAAGTGAATATGAACAATGAATGAACAATCAACCTTCAGAGTATAACTCTGCTATATATGCTTAAAGTTCTTATTCTATATAATAATGATATTTAATTATGACCTTGTAACTTTGTTAAGATTTTCTAGTTTTTCTCATTTGCATATGTTATTCTCAGCATGTTTATAATATGAGACCTTCAAATTCCCTGATAAGTATAAAGTCGTGTGTTTCTTGCAATAAGCGTAAAGAATTTTCTAAATTTTGCCTATTTACAAGCCAGACATATTCATTCTCTTTTTAATACAAACATAATGGTGTTTAATAATAATGGGTCTTAATTATAATAACCCCACCACTGTGTAAAATATAGATCAATCACACAGAGAAAAAAGTTTTATGTCTGAAAAAATTGTGACAAGCATTTGGATTTGTTGTGTCGGTTGCTCATAAGTTTTATAATTTTTTTTAATACATAAATCAAAATAAATGATAAATTGTGGTTATTTGTTTCAGCGTTAAACAATTTTGATTAGTGAATTCTTTAGCTTTCAAGCCTCTGCGAGTTCCAGATACCATTTGTTGTTTAATGCTTAGAAAATGCCTTTCCTTGGATTGTGATAAGCAGAAGTCTCTCTTTGTTGTCTCGCAAATTTCACAACCCAGTACCAAGAGAGCTTTACGGAAATCTTTTCGGGGAATTGATAAGTTCGTAAGCTGATGTACGGGTATTGTTCCATAACTTTAATTATTTCTAGGAGTTATTTATAGTTGAACCAAAAAAATTGTTTTTATAATTCTAAAATTTTTTAATACGAACAGCTTATTAATTGTTTGTATAATTGGATCTGTGCTTATGTACGTATGTGTATAGAAATATTTCTTGATTTTTTATGACCGATTTTAGCTATGGATGTTTGACTGTATTTTGTAATCATTTATATGAGAGAATGAAGAGTGAACGATCAAAAGGCATTTGCGGATTTATTTTTGCGGAGGCCTCCTTAGTTCCACTTTGAAATGAATACGAATCAGTCCAATATTTAAAGCGACTATGTGGATCTGTAAACTAGTAATATTTTCTCTGCTCTCCGGCTTCGTAGCAGCTCAGGTTTGTGTGGTTCAGAGCACGAGGAATATCAACGGAATTAAAACGGTAAGCCGATTATCGAATCTTCAATTTTGTTTAACAAGCTTTAAGTCCCATTTACTTACACCATTAGAGTACAAATGTTACGCAATGCTGTCGAGGATACAGAAAATTAGGCACCACTAGACTCCAGTGCCAGCCAGTTTGTAAGGTAGCCTGTTCAAATGGCAGATGCTCGAGACCAAATGAGTGTACCTGCCACGTAGGCTTTGTCAACTTAAACCGTATTAAATCTAATCGGTATGTAATACTGGAGTAATCCAGATAAAATAATACAACAAATTAAAGTGATTTCCACTACATTTCATTTTTGTTTCATCGGTGGAAAGTTTTTATTATTTTTGTAAATCAATAACCAATTTTAATATTGAGCGAAATTTCACATTTTGAAATTCTTATTATGTTGCTATTCTTTTAAAAAATTAAAGACTATTGTCATCATAACGAAAAAACATCAACAAAACTCCAGTTGTCAACCAGTCCCTCCATCGATAAAGATTTTTATATATTTTTTTTATATAACAATAAGAAACGGAAACTATAAACGGATGTTGCCAATTATAGAAAATTCCAAACATTAAAAAATATATTTTTTTTATTACATTTTCATAAGAAATGTTTATTGACTTTTGGCAATTAAAAATCTAAACTGGGTATTAAAAGTTGAGCCAAGAAAGTGAGAAATCTAGTTTGGCGCATATTTTTCCAAACTTTTGAGTTTTTGTTAACGTTGCTTATTCTCAACAGTTGTGTACCCTCTTGCAAGGGCTGCAATAATGGACAATGCGTAGCGCCAAACCGCTGTGCTTGCAACAGCGGCTACCTGCTTGATCAGAAGACCGGCAATTGTGTGCCCCAATGTTCCAGTGGTTGCCCCAATGGCTTTTGCAGTTCACCCAACAAGTGCAGCTGCAACAAAGGATACGCGATGAATGTCCCCAGCCGCACGTGTCTGCCCACTTGTACGGATAACTGCAAGAGGTTCAACGGATTCTGTGCTTCGCCAAATCGATGTGTCTGCAATCCAGGCTATGTTCAAAACCCAAACTCAAAGACTTTCGCCTGCCAGCCCGTTTGTAAAAATGGGTGCAAAAACGGAGTTTGCCGAGCTCCCGATGTCTGTGAGTGCAATAAATTCTTTCGAAAAGATGCCGATAAGAACTGTGCTCCCATCTGCGAGGGCGGATGCGTGAACGGAATGTGTACAAAACCGGACGTCTGTGAATGTCTGCCGGGATATACAAAAATCGGCAAAAATGTCTGTAAGGCCGTTTGTCCATCGGGCTGCAAGAACGGAAACTGCGTTGCGCCGGATGTGTGTTCCTGCAACTCAGGATATATCAAGCGGGAAGGTGCCTGCTCACCTGTTTGCGATGATGGATGTGAGAACGGACTCTGCACGGCGCCCGGTGAGTGTTCCTGCAATAAAGGATATGCCAAGTCAGGGAAAAAGTGTGACCCAGTTTGCACAGGAGGATGCAGAAATGGATTTTGTGCCTCGCCGGGAAACTGTTCCTGCAATTATGGATTCACTAAGAAAACGAATAATAGTTGCGTACCAGTTTGCAAAAACGGATGTGAGAACGGATTCTGTGTTTCACCGGAGAAGTGCTCCTGTAATCAAGGATACGAGATGGATAAGGGGAACAAATGTATTCCAGTTTGCAAAGGTGGATGTGAGAACGGATTTTGTGTTTCACCTGACAAGTGTTCCTGCCAAGAGGGATACGAGATGAAAAATGGGAACAAGTGTAGCCCGCTTTGCAAAGGAGGGTGTGATAACGGAGTCTGTGATTCACCGGATAAGTGCTCCTGTAATCAGGGATACGAGATGGATAAAGGGAACAAATGTATTCCAGTTTGCAATGGAGGATGTGAGAACGGATTCTGTGTTTCACCTGACAAGTGTTCTTGCAAGGAGGGATACGAGATGAAAAATGTTAAGAAGTGTAGTCCGATTTGCAAAGGAGGGTGTGATAACGGAGTCTGTGTTTCACCGGATAAGTGCTCCTGTAATCAAGGATACGAGATGGATAAAGGGAACAAATGTATTCCAGTTTGCAATGGAGGATGTGAGAACGGATTTTGTGTTTCACCTGATAAGTGTTCCTGCAAAGAGGGATACGAGATGAAGAATGGGAACAAGTGTACTCCGGTTTGCAAAGAAGGATGTGCTAACGGAGTCTGTGTTTCGCCGGGGATGTGTTCCTGTAATCACGGATATGAGATGGATAAAGAGAACAAATGTATTCCAGTTTGCAATGGAGGATGTGAGAACGGATTTTGTGTTTCACCTGATAAGTGCTCCTGTAATCAAGGATACGAGATGGATAAAGGGAACAAATGTATTCCAGTTTGCAATGGAGGATGTGAGAACGGATTTTGTGTTTCACCTGATAAGTGTTCCTGCAAAGAGGGATACGAGATGAAGAATGGGAACAAGTGTACTCCGGTTTGCAAAGAAGGATGTGCTAACGGAGTCTGTGTTTCGCCGGGGATGTGTTCCTGTAATCACGGATATGAGATGGATAAAGAGAACAAATGTATTCCAGTTTGCAATGGAGGATGTGAGAACGGATTTTGTGTTTCACCTGATAAGTGTTCCTGCAAAGAGGGATACGAGATGAAGAATGGGAACAAGTGTACTCCGGTTTGCAAAGAAGGATGTGCTAACGGAGTCTGTGTTTCGCCGGGGATGTGTTCCTGTAATCACGGATATGAGATGGATAAAGAGAACAAATGTATTCCAGTTTGCAATGGAGGATGTGAGAACGGATTTTGTGTTTCACCTGATAAGTGTTCCTGCAATGAGGGATACGAGATGAAAAATGGCAACAAGTGTAGTCCGGTTTGCAAAGGGGGTTGTGATAACGGAGTCTGTGTTTCACCAGAGAAGTGTTCCTGTAATCAAGGATACCAGATGGATAAAGAGAACAACTGTATTCCAGTTTGCAACGATGGATGTGAGAACGGATTTTGTGTTTCACCTGATAAATGTTCCTGCTCTCAAGGATATGAGATGAAGAATGGGAACAAGTGTACTCCGGTTTGCAAAGAAGGATGTGCTAACGGAGTCTGTGTTTCGCCGGGGATGTGTTCCTGTAATCACGGATATGAGATGGATAAAGAGAACAAATGTATTCCAGTTTGCAATGGAGGATGTGAGAACGGATTTTGTGTTTCACCTAATAAGTGTTCCTGCAAAGAGGGATACGAGATAAAAAATGGCAACAAGTGTAATCCGGTTTGCAAAGGGGGTTGTGATAACGGAGTCTGTGTTTCACCAGAGAAGTGTTCCTGTAATCAAGGATACCAGATGGATAAAGAGAACAACTGTATTCCAGTTTGCAACGATGGATGTGAGAACGGATTTTGTGTTTCACCTGATAAATGTTCCTGCTTTCAAGGATATGAGATGAAGAATGAGAACAAGTGTACTCCGGTTTGCAAAGAAGGATGTGATAACGGAGTCTGTGTTTCGCCGGGGATGTGTTCCTGTAATCACGGATATGAGATGGATAAAGAGAACAAATGTATTCCAGTTTGCAATGGAGGATGTGAGAACGGATTTTGTGTTTCACCTGATAAGTGTTCCTGCAAAGAGGGATACGAGATGAAAAATGGGAACAAGTGTAGTCCGGTTTGCAAAGGAGGGTGTGATAACGGAGTCTGTGTTTCGCCGGGGATGTGTTCCTGTAAATACGGATATGAGATGGATAAAGAGAACAAATGTATTCCAGTTTGCAATGGAGGATGTGAGAACGGATTTTGTGTTTCACCTGATAAGTGTTCCTGCAAAGAGGGATATGAGATGAAAAATGGGAACAAGTGTAGTCCGGTTTGCAAAGGGGGTTGTGATAACGGAGTCTGTGTTTCACCAGAGAAGTGTTCCTGTAATCAAGGATACCAGATGGATAAAGAGAACAACTGTATTCCAGTTTGCAACGATGGATGTGAGAACGGATTTTGTGTTTCACCTGATAAATGTTCCTGCTTTCAAGGATATGAGATGAAGAATGGGAACAAGTGTACTCCGGTTTGCAAAGAAGGTTGTGATAACGGAGTCTGTGTTTCGCCGGGGATGTGTTCCTGTAATTACGGATATGAGATGGATAAAGAGAACAAATGTATTCCAGTTTGCAATGGAGGATGTGAGAACGGGTTCTGTGTTTCACCTGTTTATGAGTTCTGTGTTTCACCTGATAAGTGTGCCTGCTTTGAAGGATATGAGATGGATAATGCGAGCAAGTGCGTGGCAATATGAAAGGAAAAAGGGAACAAGTAGGAGATGGATGTGAGAAGGATTTTTGTTATAATGGATTCTGTTCCAAGTCTGCACGGGGGATGTCCCGGGGTTCATGCAATAAGGGATATGCCAGTGAGTCCAACAATAGTTGTATTCCAACCTGTAAAAACGGATGCCGAAATGGGTCATGTAAGATGCCTGGGCAGTGTCAGTGCTTCGATGGTTTTAAAATGACAGTGGAAGGGGATTGCGTGCCCCACTGTCCAAGTCTATGTCAGAATGGCAAATGTGTTTCTCCAGGTGTTTGCAAGTGCGACGACGGCTTTGTATTCGCTGCGCAAACGGGAAGCTGTCTGCCTGAAAAGCAACTGTTTCGCGACATGGATTGCAATCAGTCCTGCCAGAATGGAACATGCCTGGACGGAATATGTACGTGTCAGGATAACTATAAGCTGCACAGAGATAAGGTCGACAATCAGAGGCTATCCTGTCTTCCAATTTGTGAGCCCGAGTGCATCAACGGATACTGCGAGGCCCCAGGGACATGTGCTTGTTTTGATGGGGAAAGCCCATACGATGGTTTCTTTTGCCCATCTTTGGATTCGTCTGAAGCACTAGAATCTTACAAACACAGGAGGGAAAATGTTAAGCAACTTAAGAGGATTTTTATTATCACTGGAGTGATAGCTGCCATTTTAGCGGCGGTGATCGCTATGCTGATGATACGTATCTATAAAAAACGCTCCTATCTAGTGGACGAGAACGGTACAATTTAAATGAGACAATGGTTAGTCGCATAATTTATCCCTTTTTTCTTTTTTACAGAAAGGAAATTTGGCGTACGCTTTTCTGCGAACAATGTGGACATAATTCGAGCCTGATATTTTACTACAAACTAGAAATATTCTCATTATTTAATAAATCTAAGAACATAATTTGAGAGATTAGTTATTTTGAGTTTTCGATTTTTTATTACCATTTCTAAATTTAAAACTTAAGTATAATTCCGATGGCATTCTGTGAATGAACGTCAATTTGTATTATTCAACTATGCTTTTTAGCGACTGCTTCCTTGGGACCATATAGTTGCTGAGGCGTTGGTATGTCCTCTACGAAAAAGTTTGCCGGTATGAGGTGGAAAACAGTGGACATTACGTCGAAGAGGATGTTTTCAACCGTCTCAACGATAAGCGGTTTAAGAGCCTCGTAGAAATCGCGCCAGTTATCGTTGAAGAATTGGTTGGTACTTCGTTCGACCTCCTTGCTTCGCCCATTAAATAAGTTATCCAGGTAGGTGCGCACCTTAGTCAGATTTAGTTGGGCACGCACCGCAGTCACGTTGTCGAAGGTGAAACCGCCCTTTTCATATAATCGAGTTTTTGTTAGTAGCAAAATGTCAAGATCATCTGTGGAAATATTTACATGTACGTATCACATTGTCAATTAGATTATTATTATGATTAAAATTTAAATGTTAAACTACCGATTTCAATGAATATTTTTCCAGAGCCACTTAGCGGTATGAGAAGTATACGTCCAGCCATTTCATACTTTCCATCCAGTCTCATTTTGGGCAGAAATATTTTGGTCTGCCAGCCAAAGTCTTTCTTACTGACGCTGCGTTAGCAAAAAAATTAAAAAAATTATCAAAATAACAAAAAAACATAGGAAAAAACGATTTAAATTAGGAACGGGTGTTGAAATCGAAAAAATAGAGCACAGTTTATAGTTTAAATGTCTTAAGCTCATGACAAATTTGCATTGTATAGAATTTTATTACGTTTTTAATTACCCAAACATTTTTTGGAGAAACGGACATTTCACTACCGTAGATTTTAAAATTATAGAATTTCAAATAGATGCTGGCTTGCACTATTTAATTTTAATTATAGTGCTACTGTTTTTACTGTGTTGATTTCAAATAGTTTATAATTACCGACTCTCCTTGACCTTTGTCTTGGCAAACCCCTTGACCACCAGCTCAGTTAGATTGGCCCTGATGGTGGCGACTTCGTTGTTGTCCTGCTTGAACACTATATCCCTCACTCGCATGGGATCGAAGGGCCCGAACCGCTCGACCACCTCAGGTATTCCAATGTTCAGCTGATCAAGAAGTTTTTGTATGCTATTTGTAGAACACTTTGTAAAGCCAGGCTCGTAAATCCGACAAGAGGGCAGAAAGGCAGCTAAAAATTTGTTTTACTTCACTAAGGAAGGGTTTTGGACTTCTGGGCTTACTTACGCTTCTCGGTGTAAAAGGCAACGGCTGAAACGCACGCCATGACCAAGGCGATCCCGTTCAGGCACAATATTGCAATTATTACACCCCAAATGCGAGGCGATCTGCGTCCATTGCGCGTGCTGCTCATGCTGCCGTTCTAGCGAGTGCCCAATAATTAAGTAGTCAAGTATCTATGTAAATAAGTAACTACTATCTGTATCTGCGAATGCTGCTGCTCAGTCACATCAAACGGCTGCGCGCTGTGGAACCGACTAGCCGGCGGCTGGCTGTGAGCCGGCGTTTTATTCTCACTCGTCAAGATCCGAGATTCAAAATTCGAGATCCGAGCTCTCAACATGGTAACGACTTACAACAACTTAATGATGCCGGGGCCAAATGCGACTCATTTATTTTAATTTAATTACATTTTATTTCACCTGTTTCCTGACTTATTAAGCAATATGTTTACAAATTATTCTTTGTCTTAGATGTACAGACACAAAGAATTAAATCTTAGCTTCTTATGCATATAATTGACCTTCAGTTCAAAGAAAATTGAAAAAATAATATACAATTTTTTTTAAACAAATCCACTGAAATGATTAAGTAATTATGTTGAAAAAATAGTTACATTTTTCGAGATATATTAAAGAGATAAAGATTGTTTCCCCAAATATATGTCAAATTTGATTTTACATAACGTATTAAGATAGACCCTTATTTTCACTATGTTATTATTTATTTTTAGGGGCATAGTCGACCACACATTACCGAACATCTTATTTAATATTGGAATGTTATAAATCACAAGAAAATGGTTAAAATAAAGTACACTGAGGGTACCGAATTGCAGGAATGCTTTTCTCTGTGTAGATTTTAATGGAAGTCTTTTATCAAGTAAGTCGCTGGTACGAAGGAAAATGTCTTTTTGAATCGATCTAGAAGAACTCCGCTCACAGTTTGCTCCACAGCCGGACGCAGAACCTCGTAGAAATCACGCCAGTTTTCATTGAAAAGAGTATGGGCTGTGTCCTCCAAATCCTTGTTGCCCCCAAAGAGATTTTCCAGCTTGATGTGGAATTGTTTGATCTCACGGAAATTGACTTTGACGCTCTGAACATTTGCGAAACTTCCCTCCGCTGTGGTCACCGGCTTGACGGCCATTTCCAGATATATCAGTGCATTTTCTGGATTGAACCGCTTTTTAAAAAATAGTTCAGAGATAATATGGAAAATTTCATACCAGCTTCGAAGTAACCTGAGCCGTGTCCATTAAGATTCAGCGCCACCACATGTCCTTTGACTTTGTAGTCGAAATTAAAACGCATCTTGGGAACGTTTATCAAAGCCTTGGCCACATAATGCTTAGGATCCCAACTGACGATTGTATAAAAATAATAAAAAGGTGGATAAGATAAGACACCATGGTCCTCACCTGGCTTCAATGACCACCGCTTGGCCAGCACCTGCGACGTATACGTCTTTCAGATCGGCATTAATGGCTATTGCTCTGTTGGCATCCTGCGCGAATTTCACTCGCTTGATATAGAGTGGATCAAAGGATCCCACGGCAGTGTTGCCAGGAATTCCATCCTTCCACTGACGGAAGAAGGTCTGGAAATTGCTGGTCAAGCATTTATTGAAATTAGAATCGCCCACAACACAAGGAGTGAGAAAGTCGGCTGAAAGTAATGTATTTAAAAAATTATTAAAATAATATTAATAAAAAATCCCCTAAATTGAGCACTGTTTTCTAGGACATTCAATATAAAGTCAGCCTAAAATTATTATTTTAAATTATTTTTCGTTTTTTTTCAGAACTTAAACTAATCTTATAATATCTCACGTTTTTCGGATAGATATTTCGCTGCTCCTGAAGTCGCCAGGAAACCAACAAAAAGGCTGAGGAACTTGACTACTTTTAAAAGCATTTTGATGATCTTACTCTAAAATTGATGATTATAACTGTTTGCTTTGAATGCACCGATTTAAATGACGATTCTGGACGGTGCCTGGCAATTTTATTCAAAATCATTTGCTTAAATGTACAACTTTTAAAATCATTTCTTTGTTTTGCTGTTTTATATATATATTTTATTTTTTCCTACTCTGTTTTCGGTACAATTAGTAAGTAAACGAGTTTGTCAGCATTAGACTTGTTGTGGTCGTACAGGGTGCCTAAATCTTTCGAGTCATCTGATACGATACCCTAATCCAAAAATGCTTTAAACTTGACATTATTACTTAGCCTTTGCCTCGCCGCCGACTCCACTTCCAGTTGTAAAAAGCAGAAGTGTCATATAACTTTATAACCTTTATATACATATATACTTATCTATATATTCTAGACAGCGATTATCTCACTTTCGCTAGAGCTGAACTGGTTCTACCAGACCATTAAAACATGTGAGCTCACTGTGACGAATGCAAACCTTTGAGACTCTGTATTTGGATAAATCATGGACAGCACTTCTGCAAATTACCTTTACATAGATGCATACTCAAGTACTAAGTGAAGAAAAGAAGCCCTGCGAATGTATTTATCTGCATGCAACCATGACCAAGGTCTGTGGTTCTTGGGTCAACAAACTTGTGGTTTTGTGACTATTTGATAGAGCTACTGTATACTGGGTATTTATCAACAAAGAAAATAATTTTAGAACAAAAATAAAAAATTTTAATTAAAGTAAATGGTATTTTATTTTTTGATATTGAATTAAGTGTATTTATTTATAAATAATATTTTTTGTCTGTGTACAAATATGTGATTAAACGTCACATAGCAAAAAACCCCAAAAGCGTTGGAATAAATTAAATAATCTAATGTAGGTGGACAATTGAAGCTTTATAAATTGTGGTTTGGGTAGTGTGTTAATGATCCTGAGAGTTTTAATTATATTATCCGTACTTTATTGCTATTTTGATATAAACAGAGTATTTTTATAAACAGATTATAATTGTTTTGAATTTTTTTTGGAATAAAAATGTGACGCATTTAAATGGATGTATACATTTAAATATCAAGTTTCTTATCTGTGTTTCTCTCCACAAAGTAGCTACTTATTAGCTTATACAAAATTAAAAGAAAACTGGCAAAAAAAAGCATCGTCTATTTTTATCATTTATTTGACGCAATAACAGCAACCAGTTTTCTTAGCCAAAGTATTGACTAGGTCAGTATGCCAGCATTTTAGTTTTCGTATATCTTTCTTTTCCTTACGCCAAGTGTGAATTTTGACAGCGAAGGAAAAATGGTCATGTCCGCTTTCAAATTACTTGTTGTGGTTGCAGATTGTTACTGGTTATTATATTTAGCTGGGAGCAAGGTGTCTGGTCAGGTAAGTGCAATCGATTAGCAGTTGGGGGGGAATTGTCTTGCATAATTGGAATGCCTAACAAGTGCAGCACTTCCGCACCTTTCAATATTAACATTTTATTCTGTTCTGGATTGTGGTTTTCTGTGATGGCAAAGGTACTTTTTTGCATTATTCATAACGAGAAAAGGAAAGTAGATAGGGACAATCAAAATACCTTAAGGATAACAAAAAACAAGATTTTGTTAATGGACAAAGGGTATATTTTAGTACATGGTTTTTGTCAAAATTTATAAAAATTTAAATCTCCAACATTTTCTCAACATTGGTAATTGTGTACAATATAATAAATACAAAAATCGAATTTATTGTAAATATTTTAGATGTCTGAGAAAATCTGTATTCATATGGATACATCAAGGTACATTTGTTTAAGTCATATCGAGAAAAAGTACCTGGTTCTCATCACTGCTCCATTCTCTGATCTCATTGCGTATGCGTGAGTGGTGCGGTCTGGAAGCATAAATTGCTGGCCAAGAATTCGAGTAGACGACTTTAACAACCTGATTGAAAATAGCTTCTCGTCGGTCCACGTTATTACCTGTAGTGAGTGAGTGGGTATATCGTTCATGTACTCACGCCCAGCTGGCTGCCGACCGCTTTCGATTTCTATGCTGCATTCCAAGCCAAGTCGAATCGGATCGAATGGAATCGGTTCTCGGATCGGGAGTTCGGGTCTCGGGCTTACGTTTTCGGTTTCTGATCGCAGCTGATCGCCAGATCCAGAGACTTCGGCTCGACTTCAGCGCGAAGCTTTATTTTCTGCCATGGTTTCCCCCCTCTTGACCCGCTTTTTGCGAAATGTTGCCTGTGGTATAAAAAGCGTTGCACGCCCTGATTTTCTTTTGAGTTTGTCGTTTCGATTCGCAGAGTCTCGAGTGCAAGTGCAGAGCGCATTTTCCATTTCGGCAGTGCATTACTTATTCAGAGATTGGTGAAAACGGTTCGACATTGATTGTTCGTCTTAGAGTTGGCAGAATGATGAAATTGGTAAGATGCAGCAAGGTCGTTGAAAGAGTGGCTTCCCAAAAACTCGATTTTAATATCAATATGGTTTTGAGTATTTGCGCAGTGAATTTTTAGAATGCAATTTAGCTAACCGGTTTGCTGTGGGTCGATCCGATCAGTGTCTATGATAAAAAAGTAACTTAATTGCTGGTTTATTAGTCAGCCATGTCCTTGAGTGAATGTTTGTGCAGTGATAATCAGGGCAACTAATTAAGGTATTTACCTGAAAGTGAAACCATAAAAACAAAGTAAAGTTCATTTGTAATTGCAGCATTTACAGCTGGGTGTTTGACTGAAATAATGAATAAGATAGCCAAATTATCTGAGTTTTTGCTAAGCTCTTTGTTTTTATTTTGCAGCAATTGAATGTGGTGTTTTTACTTCTGGCGGCCCACGCTGCGTATGCGCAACATCAGGACTATACCACTCCAGTGCCGATCCTCAAGCAGATCGACAAGCACAACGACGATGGATCCTATACGTACGGGTACGAAGCAGCGGATAAGAGCTTCAAGATCGAGACAAAGTATTCCAATGGCGAGGTCTATGGAAAGTACGGCTATGTGGATGACCAGGGCAAGGTGCGGGAGATCGAATATGGAGCCAGTAAGCGTGGCTTTGAGCCCGCTGGCAGCCACATCAATGTGCCACCTCCAACGCTGACCAACAGCAATCCCTATCCCCTGGGTCCCAATGAGCTGGATGATGGTCAATATCGCGAGGACCCTGCGGTTTACTACAAGGATCAGAAGTTCAACCGCCCGCTGTCACCTGCCAGCAAATTCAGTTTGAACGACTTTGGGCGTGGCCAGCAGCAGGCGTATGCCCCGCCCCCGCAGCAGCCCGCCCCTCAGCGACCCTATTATAACCCCACGCCCCAGTACTACAATCCCCCAGCCCCGCAGCCCCGGTACTACCAACCCCCTGCCCAGAACTACTACAATCCCCAGCAGCAGCAACCGTATAGGGGATTACCCGAGCAACACCATCCGTCCCTCCGGAACTTAAACCTCTACACGGGATCCTATAGCATCGACTATACGGGCCGGAAGTAGGAAGGTCTATTGGATTGGGGGGGATCACCTTTGAGTTGGGCCAGAGAGTCAGCGACTGAAGTGTCCGAGGACAATGTCAACTTGTTACTGCCAAAAAAATCAGTCACTCCGCACAACCCACATATATCTATTAATGTACACTGTTTATAAATGTTCTTGTATGTGTGTAATAAATCGAGTTTCGAGACCTGAAGCGTTTACAGAGAAAATAATAGTGTTCTTAAATCAAAAGGATTTTAAAACCGGGTTTCAAATCAAAGATTGAAAAAATATAAAGCAGAAAATTAAAGAATTGTATCATATTACATATTACAGCTTGGTGGCTGTGCCAAAAGACTATTCATAGTTTTAAATTAACATTTCAATATCTAGTTTGATTGACAAAGCCTTTATTAGGTTTCAAATACTTTACATCTTTAGGTAATGATTAGATAATTTGGTTTTAATTATTATTTTATTGATCAGCTTGCTCCATAATTATTCTCAGTGCCCAGAAGTATTTCAAATATCTGCTTTGGCATTCAATTTGGCCAACTACCAGGTTCCGCTTCAATTAAGCCGCCCCGCAGCTGAAATTGAAGCAAAATCAAGCCGAATGGAATAAAGCCAAAGAGCCCAGCAAGTGGCCAATAATCGTTAGTCCATTACGTCAACACAGAATGATCGAGCAAAACCAAAAAAAAAAACACTGTGGCCGATTCAGCTAGAAAACCAAAGTGGATTTGCTGTTGACTGGAATTTGGTGCACTTATGCAATGTGCTGGCCCCAAACCACTTTCAAATGCACTGCCACCAACGACCAGTTGGCCATTTGGCTTGGGCCGTTTGCTGGGTGCTGAAACCACTGCCTTTGTCTTTTGGGTGTGGGGTATACGAGTACTAGGCAGCAGTGGTTTAGGCCTGTTGGATAATTGGAAGTCACCCTCGGAACAATCGTCAGGCGGAGAGGTTAAATCACTGAGGTACTTATCTCATCGTTAGCTATAATGAGGTTTTAATTATGTAATTTTATTGAATTTCGATTAAATTTATTAAAGGTTTTTTGATTTAATTAAAATTGATGATCAACAGTTTCTTAACAATGCATGGCAACAGTGTAATATGTTTTAAGAGATAAATATGGATTAAAGGATTTATGAAATAAATTAAATGAAATGGTCTCTTATGATACTAAATAAAAAAGCAGAAGGAGACATTTCCGACCCTATAAAGTATATATATCTTGATCAGGATCACCCCGAGTTGATAAGCCATGTCCGTCGTCCGTCTGTCGTCCGTCTGTCCGTCTGTCCGTCTGCTGTTTCTACGCAAACTAGTCTCTCAGTTTTAAAGCTATCGAGTTGAAACTTCACACAGCCTCTTTCCTTTGCACGCAGTATTATGTCGGAACGGCCGGGCGACATATCCTACTGCCAATAACTGATTGATCGAAAATCAAACTTTGGTGTTTGTAAAGTTAGGAAGTTGGGATTTCATCGGTTTTATATGTGGCCAATCCATCGACCACCAAATTCATAAGGATCGGCCGACTAATCCTATACCGCCATATAACTGATTGACTGAAATGCCATAACTTTGGTGTTGTTAAGTTAGGAAGTTGGGATTTCTATGGGCTTTATTTTTGGCTATCAATCCGACCTACCAAAGTTCATAATGGCCGACTATATCTTATAGCGCCATATAACTGAACGATTGAAATGCTATAACTTGGTGTTTTTAAAGTTAGGAAGTTGGGATTTTTTATGAGTATTAAGAATGCATCATATGAATAATTTTGGAGAATATAATTTACAGAGTATTCTGGAAGGGTATATCAACTTCGGCTCCGCCCGAAGTTAGCTTTCCTTTCTTGTTGAATTTGATTTTGTTTTTTCAAAAACTGCACTTCATTTTAAAATAAATATAGCCATTTCCCGGTCAAACTTATCTACCACTGTGCAAGTTGGCCAAGTCAAAAATGTAAAACGTTTTGCTGGTAGCACCAACGAAGAATCAAGTCCAGACTGCACCTCTTAAAAAGCAATGCACAGACACACATTACAAGTTTGGAATTATTTTTATTTTTTCAGTATTTATATAATTTTGCAGTGCAAAACTGCGAAACTGGTCTGCTGCTGCTGGGGCGTTGGCATGACTCAAGAATTTCCTGAAAAATTGTCTGCTTTGTTATGGCTCGCTTGTGAACAGCTGCTGCATTTACTACATTTTCTGCAGCAGCCATGGAGGCACACCGTCGTAAGTAGGGGCTTGTAATGGTTGCCATTCGAAAGTGCGTTGGCGGAAAGGCGAGTGTCATAAGTCGACTCCTGCAGTCCTCAATACTCCGATTCTTTTTTTACTTTAACCTCATTGAGTTGAATTCTTTTGGAAAAGCTTCAATGCTCCATTGATATCTTGTAAAAATAAGTATGGGTGACATAAAAATCATGAAAAGAAGGTATTCAACTAGGCAAAATAAACCCTTGAAACATGAAAGCTTGGAAAGTTTGAGGAGTCTGAAAATATACTACTTAAAATAACTGAAATAATAATAATTTATCAATGACGACATTTGAATAAAACATCAAGAACCGAGCGACAATTTGCAATGCCAATAATACTAATGAAAATAAAAATGTATAACTAATTTACTTTCTCTTTGGTAATTACACTCAAAGAGTATTTTAAATTCGTGTGGTATTTTTTTGGCGAACTCTTTCGACCTTGATCGTGCCAGTGCGTCTACGCATGCGCACAAGTTCAGGTGCACGCCCATTTGGCCCCAGCCCCGCTTCCCACGAACAAAAGCCGGACAGAAACTAGTCTTTAATGTGATATATTCAGAAAAAAAACCGACAAGCTAAATAACAACCGCACGCACTTGAAGACTGGAAACTGCCCTGCGTCATGGGCGGCACTTAAAGGAGGTACATATAAATACAGAAGGGGGACTCGAGGGGTAGACAATTGTTGACGGTTTCCTGGTCTGGTATGTGGTGCAGTGGCTAACCAGTTTTGGTTGAACTATCACCATCCCGCTGCGGGTTGCATTTCTGCTTTGTCCATGTAGCTGTTCAGCAATAACGGAGTGCTACTTGTGGTGTGTCATTAATTCCAACGGAATGACTACGGCAAGGCCATGTCGAGTGGCTGCAGAAAACGCAAGCGAAGGCGTGTAGCTAAGTTCACACACTGAAAGCTGACACGTTGCCTGGTTCTGATTCCGTCATGAAATAACATTCCTTGACATCAAGTATACGCACTGTTGAATAAAAGAAAAAATATGTCAGTAAATTCCTTAGATCGTTGACTGCTAGCTTTGTTATAAGTATTTAGAGATTTTTTTGGCCTGACTCAAAAAGATAAGTATGGTCCATATATTTTAGGTAATGTTGCCAATTTTGCTCTTGGATCAGTTAAGTTTTAGAGAAGTTTCTGTACCTTTATAAAAAATACAAGACATTTTTAATTCAACCAAACTTGTTGATTTAAAAGACGCATACAATCACAGAAATCAATATGAACTTAATTTCGTCTAAAATGGTCAACTTTTGAGGATTGGTGCTTACTGCCACACGGCCTGACGACTTTGCCTCATTTTTCACAATTTATGGGCCTCACAGTTTTGATTAATTGTCCATGGATGGCCACATCCCAATGGGGCTAGTTGCCATAGCGCATGGAAGGTCGGGGTTAGAGTAAGAGTTCCGCCCTGATTTCGAAAGTAATTTGTTAAATTTATTAAATTGTTGCCTGGAATTTATTGTTAACAAGTGGGTAATTCAATTTTTATATTACTGTGGGTCAGAGGAAAAATTTAAAATTGCTGAGGCAACCGAAACGGAATATTTTGAGTATTCTTTAAACGGAAACAATTATTTCTGTTTTATATGTTACAGAAACCTTTAAGCAAATTTCTCTTACATTATTTAATTGAAAGTGGTTTTTAAAGGCGATGAAGCTGGCTTACATCAATAAAATAAACTTTGATTAAGATAATAACACATACTCCATTTAATAATTTTATAATTTCTTCTTACTGATATATTTATTTCTTACAGTGTTTTCCCATAATTTAATAAATATGTATAATCGGCTATTTACATTTTCAAAAAATCTAATCGATGTAATTTTATTTTCTTCTTGTATTAGCCATTCTTGGCCATTCCTGTGGTGCTGGCAAAGAAAAGCTCGCCAAAGCACAGAGAGAACTCTCATGGAAGTCTCTTTCTCAAGTTCGGTCAAGCTCTGCAGCCTCTCTCTATATCTCTCGTATATCTCTATATCTTTTTCTCCAGAGAAACGAGCGCTCTCCGTCCTTTCGTTGGTGAAGTTTTGTGGTGCTGTGGCCGTTGGTGCGGTTCAGTGGTGCTATAGTGCCATGGTGCTGCGGGGTCTGGGGTTTGGGGACTTTGGTCCGTTATGGGAGAGGTAAAAAGGTTTTCCGCGATCGGTATATAAAGCGAAATACAACAACCTGGGCGGCTCAGTTGCCGTCGGTCCCAAGTTAATACTCCACGCGATCTCCCCCGAAGTCGGTCCGAAGATTTGGCCGATTTGCTGAGATAGTCACCCGGTTCATTAGGGGAATTGGATTTGGAATCGAAATTGAAAGTGCTTTGTTGTCTTCGACACTCGATATTCAGCTGGGTGTTGCCAGCGAAGGCCTTTTGCGATTGCATTCAGGGTTTAATCGATTCGAAATAGCTGGCCCCACAAAAGCCAATCAGCGGATACAATTCAACATGAAAGTGGTATGTGAGTGGGCGTATATATGTGTCGGTGGGTGGTAAATACCAAAGGTCGTTCGCGAGCCTGAATGCGTGGCTACAAATGCTAAGGGGTGTATAGCTCAAGATCCCTAGATTTATGGAGGGGAGGTACTGATCTGTAAACTTACGTCATCGCGTTGCGGCGACTGTTGTGCAAATATGGCATAATTTGCTATGCAAATCGAGCGAACCGTTAATTTGCTCCCAGCCCCAATCGCAATTGTTCAGCTTGGCTACAAGCGACATTTTCCAGCTCTTTGTACGCGATCCAGTCCACCATCCACTCCACTTGGCACCCAATTTGGTAACTGGATTTTGACATAATTTATGAACGACGCAGCTTCTTGAGAAAAAAGTTGCAGGAACTTCAATCAGCACAAGTTCCACACTAACAAGCTCGCTTCAGCCGCATAGTTTCCCCCTCCAGTCCAGCGTGAAAATATCAAAGGCAAACTTTGGCTCAGTTCACACGCGGCAGTCAGCTTTTTGGTCAGTTTTTGGCTGGTTTCGGTGCACTGAGTCCCCCGAGCATGTCGTGGCCTGGATGTATCTGTATCTATATCTGTACCTGTATCTAACTACCTGTCCGTCCACCTGTCCGCCGCACCAAGGCTGCGGCACATGCAGCCTAGATAGTGAAAGGTTTCGGCATGCGGAATGCTTCGAATGTGCAAAAAAACCAAAGTCCAAAATGCCACAAAGGAGTTAGCCAAATAAACCAGAGCTCGATTCTTGGCATCGATGCTTATTGGCTCTGGCCCAAAACTGTCGACAGGCGGGGATGATACTTCCATCTGGTCTTGTTTAAAGCCAATTTTAAATTGAAAATTTAGTAAGTCTAGAGATGGCAAGTAAAAGTAATGGACACTTATAAATGCTTTTATAGTTTTGATTCGGGCAACATAATAGAATGTAAAAAAGAAATAAAATAAAATGTAAAGTATTGTGATTATTATTGCTTATCATAAAAATATAGAAAGTCACAGGCTAGGTTATAAAAGCCACATTTGGTTTCCCTGTGATTCAGTAATTTTCCGCAAATTTCTTTGGCATTTGCATGCCGCGAATGCATCTTAACGTTGCCGCAGTCACATACTTGCAACACATTTCGGCAAGTGTGGGAACTTTTTCCCAGCTTCCCATACATAATTTGTGCGCCTGCCTCTTTTGGTTTTTTCTCTCCCCGAATTAGCTGCCGGATTACCCAATTGCAGCTGCGATGTGTGCGCTGTGTGGGAGTCATGGGGCTGGCCAACGATAATTGGCATTCCCCTGCATCTTCGCAGGCATCTTCCTTCCCGGTTGCATTTTCCATGCCCAGTGGTGGGCACTCAATTAATCCCATCCAGACCCATCCAGCTGAGCTGCCATATCGCGTGACACTGGGATTGGGTTTTCAGCTGGGCACGGCCTTTATGCAACTTCACTGCGGATGCTCTACTCAGAAAAAAATACCTTTAAATATTTTAAAGTTCGGAATACTGTTTCAAATGATTTTTAATTGATTAGATAAGATTTAACTCTTATTTTATTAGTCTAATCTTAAGTAAACAGGGTCATTAACGCAACAAAACAGAAAGTGGCTAAACAATTTAGTTAAGTTCTTTCACTTTTTGGCAAAAATGATAATGACGTTAATTTTTTATGGTTTTCTAATTCGATTCTGGAACAATCATTTTCAATTTTAGTATGTTTTAGTCCATGGCTTTTAATAGTAGTTACTTTGCCTACTTTTTTGTTGAGTGTCTGCAACTGAATCCGGGGTATCGGTTCCTGCTTGGCATTGAGGGTGTCATTGGCCGGCGGAAAAGTGAAAGGCAGCCTGACTTAAGACTTTTGTAAACATCGTTGTCGTCTGGCATTCTTGGTACCGCTCAGACACCGATGCACTGTCAAGGTGTTCCGGTGGCCAAAGGCGAGGTGGAAATCCAACCTTTCTGGCAGACAGGGTGCAATTAGCGAACCGGTTGCCATTTCACTAGACAGAGCAAATCGAGTTTATATCCTATCACCACAAATGTAATTGACTTTAAAATGATTGATGTGTCTTACAGCTGCAACGCGTGCTCTTAGTCGGCTCCCTGATATTGGGAGTGGGTATGGTGAGGTCGCAGGACTATCAGGATTACCAGGAGAACACACCACGGACGGCTCCACTCCGCCTGCGAGCCAATTCAGCTCCCGCACGGGCCGAAACGCCACGAGCTGATCCAGTGGCCATCCTTAAGCAGATTAACAAGTCAGTACCATGTAGGATTTAACAGTTAAATGTTACAAATTTAATTTAAATTTGATTAAATTTGTATTATATATATTTAATGATGTTGAGTACTTAAGGTGTTTTATATCATGTAATTCATAAGACAATTATACCTAAAAAAACCTTATTATTATTTATATTTAATAAGTATTTTAAAAAGTTATTAATCAAATGAAAAATTCTTTCTCATCAGGCACAATGAAGACGGCTCCTACACGTATGGATATGAAGGCGCCGATGGCTCCTTCAAAATCGAGACAAAGTTAGCCACCGGCGAAGTCAAGGGAAAATACGGATATGTGGATGAAACCGGCAAGGTTCGAGTGGTAGAGTACGGTGCCAATAAGTACGGCTTCCAGCCCTCCGGAGAAGGCATCACAGTGGCTCCACCCACATTGGTAGACGAAACGGCCAAGGAGGAACCAGACTACGCGGATGAGCCGGTACCACAGCGTCCTCAGAAGCCCTATGTAAGTTAGGTGATACACCTACTGAAATAATTGATTTGATAAAACTATACTTTTTATAGCGCGTTCAGCGTCCCCAGCCACGCCCACAGCCCCGCCCGCAACCCCAACCACAGCCGCAGTACGTGCAATATGAGGAGGAGGAGGAGCCGCAACGTCGGGTTCAGTATGCACCACAGCCGCAGCCACAGCCACAACCTCTGCCGCAGCCACAGCATCTGCCACAGCAGCACCACCAACCGTCGGTGGGTCCGGCACCGCCACGAATCCAAATTCCCGGTGCCCAGCGCACCACCGATGTGCTATACTCGCCACTGCAGCGTCCCGCTCGCCCCGAACCGGATTATTCGCAATCGCAGAGTTTCGGAGATGGACCTTCGAACGTGCGGATTTCCCGGCCCGTTTACGCCCTGCCCCCCGCATCCCCAGCTCCGAGTAGCGCCCGTGCTCAGGGATTCCTGGCTCCCGCCTCCGGAGGACGTCCACTCCTGGAACCGGTGGGCTTCGGCCAATCCCAGGGGCCCATCGCTCGACCTGTGCAGCAGCAGCAGCCGAGCTACCAGCCACAGCCGCAACCACAGTCCCGCAGCGGCGGAGGAGGTGGCTCAGGATTGCTGGACCAGTTAGCCAGGGACTACGCCCTGCCACAGGGAAATGCCCAGCCGCTGCACGACATCACCTTCGGCTACTACTGAGCTGCGAGATGAGAGGTGGTTGCAGTCCCCATCCTCCTGAATAACCCAGAGATTCCTTGCTTCTAGGTCCTAATCGCACTGGTGTGCCCTGTCCCTGAGATTTTTTAGGCGATAATAAAAATTCCCTATTAATACACTAAATTAGTTTTTGAAAGTATCTAACAATAATATGGATATATATTTAGTAAATGTACTAACAGTAATTGACAAAAAAATGTTTTGATTTTGAACTATGGTCCCATAAAAAAGGTGTAGCCTACTTTCAGGCTTCCTCCTATTACTTAAAGAGTTAAAAAAGGAAAAAAGAGATTATGGTAGACAATCTGTTTTAACTTTAAAAGCTTTCTTGCTATTTTAAGCTTCCTTAGAATTTGGTTTTTTTACTAAAAAAAATTATTGGTCACTTCTCAAAACATACAAATTGTTTTAGCTTGTAAGTGTATTTTTACTCTTTATCATCTACATCAACGTTACATTAAATTTTTCTTTGGTACAACATACTTTTAGGCATTAACGCTCCCTTTAACAAAGTCCCAGAAAATTCGCAGAGTGTATTCAATGATTTATTTAATTTAAATACTTAAACTTAGGATGGAAAAGTTCAATCAATGCAAACTGCAGTTCTTGTGAGGCCCTCGGGGGTTCTTCGGATCGGAAATGTATATAGAATGAGGGGGAGTGACAGCGGATAGATTCGGAATAGGCAGGAACGGTTTGACTAACTCTAGGATACGTGAAGATGGACAGTGCTGTAAACGAAATGGGCGTGGTCCACAGCTTCCTCATCGTCCTCTACTGATGGTAGACTGCAAAGAGATCGGTGAGAGGTGAGAAGGGTTCCCGATTCTGTTTAGGTAGTGCAACAGCGCAGGAAAGTGGGTGTGCGAGAAGAGAAAGTGCCTGATAAGGGTGGTGGTGGTGCTGGGATTCATTTTGTGGCATGCTGTGCTTGGGTTTTTCGGATGCAAATCTATGACTCGCTTTATTGCCAGCCATCTCTGGGAAGCTCAATAAATATTTAATTACGATAAATGATTGCGATAACGAGAACATAAATAAGTTATAGGTAAATGCTGGACATGACTTAGAGGACTATAAGCTAAGGACTACAGGCGATCCTGATCCTCCATTACACCTCCAGCAGGCGGTTGAACATCAGAGGATCCTGTATCTCGTAGTCCTGCGGCCGAAAGACGCGTTTCGGGTGCTTTCCTCCCGCCACATGGCGGCGCACCTTGTAGCCACCACTGTGTCCTGGGTGGTACGGTGGTGGTGCACTGTACACGTACTTGGACTTCTGCACCACTGGGGGCAAGTACTGGAAGTGCGGCGACTGCTTGTGCACCTGCTTTTCAATGGAGTAGACGGGTCCACTTCCGTGGCTATTACCCTTCCGTTTGGCCACCTCCAGGGCGGCGATAATGGGCGTTAGATCCTTGAGGGCATTACTCTTGCTGGCATGGTAATTCTCCACCCTGTAATCACTTGAAGCTGGCGGCGGTGGTGCTGGTGGTGCAGCTGGAGCGGGTGGTGGATAGTCGTAGCCCTCATTTGGGTGCTTCTGAATGTAGAGTTCCTCAGCGGATGGAGATGGTCTCTTCACCATTTGGTGATAAACATCTGCTGGATTTTTAGAGGCGGGATTATAGGCAGCAGTAATGGATTCCGTGTGCGAAAGTGATTCCAAAGTGCCCAGGTTATTGGGCAACGGTATTCCGTAACTATTGTACACCTCTGCCTGCTCTAAACCCGTTCCAGTTGGTAAGTTTGTATCCAAAGCCACAGTTTTGGAGGCCGTATACTCCGTCTTCCCGTTGGGCAATAAGCTGAGGATCTCCTGGAGCTGTAGAGCCGCCTTTCGTGCCTCTTCATCCGACAGTTTGGTGTGTCGTCCATAGATGTTAAAGTCATTGCTATTTGCACTGGTCGCTGCCGTTTTGCGGTTGTTGTTTTGAGTGGGTGGGTGTATGTGGTGGTTTGTTGTGGTGGTGTTGTTGTTGTTGTCGAGATGTGTATGCAATGAGTGAGATTTCATTAGATTTACCAATTTAAATATTTGCGTTTTGGGTATGTTTGGGTATTTACACTTGGTTTGGTCTGTTGATGTAAGCGTTTGTAGGTGCACAGAGAAAAAGTATTTATATTTTTGAATGTTGGTTAGTTAAAATTTAGAGATTTCTGATTAATACCTTGAATAAAAATTCTAAACAATATTTTAAAATAATTTTTATAAATGTGGAAATTTTATAATTTTAAAATAATACATATTTTGTATAGCAATATTAAAGAAGGACTCAAAACGGGTTTAAAGGTAACTTGGTTTATAAAGAAATACATTTTTCTCTGTAAAGTGGGTTTGTGTTGTTAGATGACTTTAGTTTATTTTGAACAAAATGATTGGTTTACTTTACACATTTTGTACATTCTTGGGCTGCTTTCAGGATGATTTTCATGATGATCACAGATGAATTCCGGTTTTAGTTTTGGTTAGCTGAATGAGAAGAGTCGACCGACCGCATTTCATTGAAGGTTTTCGCTAGACTCATTAATGGGCCATTGACTAAATAAGTATGCGGACTTTTATTAAGTATGCGACATGTGGCCACTGCAAATGGCTCCATTAATATCTGTACAATTCGTTTAAGCTATTGGTTGTTAACGGACACATGGATGACGTGATAATTTATTAAAAAATGCTTAAATGTTTTTATGTACAATGAATCGATTAATGTTCGCTTGCGCAATGTGTTAAAAAATCGAATAAACTTAGCCTATAGGAAATGTGTCATTGGAACAAGTTCCAGGTGCCTACCCAAACGTTAATGGAGGGTATGACTGAAGAAGGAGAGATTTCGACTGGTAGTGTTAATATTTACAGTGTTTACAATGCCTCTGTGGGATTTTAGCTTCGTCTTCACGAATTATGAGCAACTGATGGTGTTGCTTTCACTTTCCTCTCGTTGTTTGCTACGTGCGGAAATGAGATGAGGGCCGCAAAAAGGGCGGTGGGACAGAGGGGCGGGGCACTTGAGTATGCAAATGAAACTGAGTGATTTGCGATTGCAAATTGATGTGACAAGCTAACGCCTGTCATAGTCTTTAGGATACTCTTATAGAAATTTTTACATATTTACATTTGCAATGTCCATCGGCTTTGACATATTTTTGCTTGGAACACGCTTTAAAATTGCTTAAAATAAGTATGAGTATATATCTTATTCACATATCCCTAATAGAGGTGCTAAAGAAATCTCAAAAGACCAACATGTTTTTTAATTTTGCAAACTTATATGTATGTACATTGGTGCGATGATTTTTACCCATCTATGGTTTTTAAATCATCTCTATATGTTGTTTGATTTCCGTAGCTTCCTTGTATACGTATTTACATTTACAAAATATCTATTTACATATTGCCGTTTAGATAAATAGTTTATCAATGGCGAATGACCTATGAGCCCATCACCTTGGTTAGTTGTAGGATAGTATGTACAGTAGAGATTATTTACACAGGACCAGACCCCAAAGAACTACGCACCATCTTGTCCATAGGCCGATGGCAGATAATTGCTGGGCGGCGACTCGAAGGCCGCCGGGTGGCTGACGCTGAAGGGCGCCCCGCCGCTGTAGCTGGCCCCGCCCACCGGCGGGAGGTACTGGTGGGTGGCGCTGCTGTAGGATGGTGGCTTCGACGGCGGACCGTAGCTGGCGTGGCCGGTGGGTATCTCGTACGTGGTGATCGCTGCAACGAGACAAATGCGGAGACATTTTAGCCAAAATGGAACGCAGACGGCGATGGAACGGGTTGCTGGTGAAAACGAAAGTTGCCGGCCAGGTTCATTGTACGCTCCACGCTCTGATTTGGCCATTGGATCTGCGGCTAAATCGGAGCTGGAAGTTGCCTCTTCCGTTTTGGCCAGGTGGGGCTGTGTTGGTTATTAGGCGGCTTGATTGTCATGCATCTAGTTCAGCAAATGCCTTACGTAATCGACAGACAATATGTTTTGATTTCACGGCCCAACAGGCAATTGCAGATACATTGGATAAAAAAATCATATTAGCGACCTACTCCAATTTTATCAAATAAGAAGATTTTGGCTGCCAACTAAAAAAAGTTATATTCCTTAAAATATTTCATTCGACGTTTGGCTTTTACGAGTATTTACAGAAATAGCGTTTTAAATATTTGGAAAGTAACCAGAATATTTAAAGTCAATAACAGCTTTATTATTTTTCTTTACACGCATGAGTGAAAATGGATAAGTTTTATTTAGATTTGGTAAACGTAAATTAGATATGTATCGTTGAATTTTAATTTCGAAAAACTGCACTGTTTAAACTTGACATAGTTTTGTTAATGGGTTATAATGATTTACATAATTGATAAATATTTGGAACCAATTTACGATCACTCCCTAACTTTTGAATGAATATGGATGAAACCAAAATACTACTGTTAAGATATACTACTATTAAGATATTGTGTTAAAATGTTTTTAATTTTAACAAGAAAGGAAAGCTAACTTCGGGCGGAGCCGAAGTTGATATACCCTTGCAGAATATTTTATAAATTATATTGTCCAAAATTATTCATATGATGTATTCTTAATACTCATAAAAGGTCCCAACTTCCTAACTTTAAAAACACCAAAGTTATGTCATTTCCAATCGTTCAGTTATATGGCAGCTATAAGATATAGTCGGCCGATCCTTATGAAATTTGGTAGGTCGGATTGATTAGCCAAAAATAAAACCCATAGAAAATCCCAACTTCCTAAATTTAAAAACACCAAAGTTATGGCTTTTCCGATCGTTCAGTTATATGGCAGCTATATGATATAGTGGCCCGATCCGGCTCGTTCCGACTTATATACTACCTGCAATAGAAATACAACTTTTGGGAAAGTTTCAAGCAGATAGCTTTAAAACTGAGGGACTAGTTTGCGTAGAAACGGACGGACAGACGGACAGACGGACGGACAGACGGACAGACGGACGGACAGACGAACAGACGGACATGGCTAGATCGACTCTCCTGGTGATGCTGATCAAGAATATATATACTTTATAGGGTCGGAAATGTCTCC